AATATCAGAGCTATTCAGCAATGTCACTGTAGTCCTCACGATCATCATCTAAAATGTTTGGTTTTGTATCGTAATCTTCCTGCACGTTGCTTTTGCGGTCACTGGTTCCTTCTCGTTGATGAACAGCGCTATGAGGAGGAGCGAGAGACAAAGTGGAATAAAATTAAAGATGAACCAGCAAATGCTGATTTGCTTAAACGTTTTGATATCTTGGAGAAAGAATTAAACATCCTTTTAGCAGATGGAAAATCTATGACACCAAAGTCTCCGGGTGCGGATGAAATGATGGACAACATGGCTCTAAAATGGAAGGAAATGAAAGAAGCGTATGCTGACATACGCAAAAATATGCTGCTTGACTAAAACAAATAGGTGTTCTGTATTTCCAAGTGGTGTTGGTCTAAAAGTTGTCAAACTGCTTTCGAAAAGATCAAGAAACTGCTACTCTCGGATCTGTCGTTGACCCACTATGACCCATCCCTACCTATTGTAGTGGCATCAGATGCTTCAAACTACGGCATTGGAGCAAGCATTTCGCATATCATGCCTGATGGATCAGAGAAAGCAATCTCGCATGCAGCAAGGTCTTTAACTACAACAGAACGTAACTACAGTCAGATCGAAAAGGAAGCATTGTCAATTATTTTTGCGGTAAGATGATATTTGGACGCCGGTTCACGCTTTCAACGGACCAAAAAAACGCTGCTAGCCATATTTGGGTCAAAGAAAGGAATCCCGGTCTATACTGCAAGCAGACTGCAGCGATGGGGAACAATATTATTGGGTTACGACTTCAAAATTAAATACCAACCTACAACTGCTTTCGGACAAGCTGATGCTTTGTCTAGGCTCATTGGTTTCCAAGCGAATCACGAAGAAGATACTTTGATGGCAGCGATTGAGACAGAGACAGAAGTACATCGAGTTTTGGAAGACTCAGGAGATGGTTTACCGGTTACATTCGAAGCTATTAAAGAAGCTACAAGAAATGACAAAATACTACAAGAAGTTAAAGGTTATCTCCTCTCAAAGTGGCCGAATCGTCGTTTACAAGGAGAACTGCAACAATATTTCCGCCGGCGCGATCCACTCATGATTGTGGATTCATGCATTATGTTTGGTGACCGGATTACTATCCCAGAATTATTGCGACATAAAATCCTCAAGCAATTTCCCAGTGGTCACCCTGGGATAAACAAGATGAAGTCACTGGCGCGCAGTTACGCCTACTGGCCTTCGATGGATAAAGATATCGAAAACAAATGCCGAAATTGCTCTTTTTCTTTACAAGCTGCAAAAAACCCTTCGAAATGTGAACCTCAACCATAGCAAAAACCTACTGGACCTTGGGAGAGAATTCATGCAGATTTTACTGGTCCAATCCATGTAAAAATTTTTCTAATTATCGTAGATGCATTTACTAAGTCGCCATAAGTATATACCATGCCAAATTGTACAACGTCAGAAACAATCCACAAGTCGTCTAACTTATTTAGCTGCTTTGGAGTTCCAGAGATCGTCGTAACTGATAATGGCTAGCAATTCATTGCAGAATCGTTTAAGTATTTCTGTAGAGCAAATGGAATAACTCATCTTCGTTCTCCGCCCTATCATCCGCAATCGAACGGACAGGCAGAACGCTTTGTGGACACCTTTAAACGAGCACTACTGAAAGGGGGAGGCAAAGGGACAACTGGACAGGTAATCACAAAATTTTTGACAACCTACAGAACCACTCCGAACCCAAATGTTCCAGACGGTAAGTCTCCTGCCGAAGCCATGTTTGGAAGGCATATTCGAACCGTTTTCAACTCCATGTTGCCATCGAAATTAGTGTACGGGCACAATCAAAATCCAAATATGCGGAACTTTAATGTCGGCGACGAAGTTTTCATTAAATCCTACACCGGAATGAACCGATGGGAGCCGGGAAAAATTGTACAAAAATTGGGAAAAGTTCTGTACAGAGTCCGAGGAACTTTTGGAACATGTATACGACATACGAATCAAATGCATAAGGACAAAAGAACGATGCAGACTCGAAATAACCGGCCAAATTTCCCGTTAGAGTTAATCTTGGACGTACCAACGATACATATGCCCAAGGACACTGAAGGGAAGCCTCGGATAAGAAAGACGACAAGAATAATGAGACGCCACCGCAACCCAGTTGTCAAGCTACAAATAGATCCTAGAAAGAAATCTTATTCGGGGTAGGTGTTGGGATGGCCATCGAGAAGCCACCCACGTACATAGTCGATTGACTAAGTTATCGACTAACTTATCGATCAGATGTTAAGTATTTGAATAGCAGTCAATTGACTAACTTATTGATGAATGTTTAAGAATTTTTAAATGACAATATTGATTATATATATAATTTTGTAGAAATACGCATGTTTGATTGTCAATAAGTGCTCACAACGTCTTTCGTCTTCTTACTTGCGAGCGGTTGGAGGTTATAACGTTCGAGTGTCATCCGTTATAGAGTCTTTTCGTGCGTATTCGAGTAGAGAACTTAACAGAAGTGACTGTCAAGTGGTTTCAGCAGGATTTGTCTTCACACGAGAGTCATTATTCATTATTTTATGATCACTCATTTGACCAAGCAATTTAGTTTTTCTACCGTATACTTTCTATTCTTCTGTTCCCCGAAGAAATGGCTTACAACGAGTCACGAATAGTCACAAAATCTATTTTTTCTACTCATTGAGATATTACAAATATGTTATTTTTACTTCTTTCATTCTATTTGTTTGTAAACTCATTCACTGTCAAATATATGTCTGACTAAACTGTTCGAAAAATTTTACATAACTACAGCACTGATTTTAGATCAGCACCTTCTACCCATTGAATGATTTAAAAGACTGACAACTCGAGTAATATACACCATTCAGTGTGCTGTCTGTCGCAATTATCCAGAAAATTCGATTTGGCCAATCAACTACTTCCTAATTGCATGGATGATGAAAGAAATTTCTCGCATATTAACTAACTTAAAAGGATAGATGGCCCTAATTATTTATGAAATGCACAGTGTTATACAACATTCTTCATTGACAAAACGAGGCACTTCCAATTCATCGTAGAAACATAACCATTATAGTCTATCACTATTATTCACAATAGTTTAGATAAGGAGTGTAATGTATAGTATTTCTCACGAATAATCTACTTTCGTGGATTGTATGCGTCACAAATTGATCTCACTTGAATTGCTAGTGGAAACAAATGAAGCATTGAACGAACGTTTCGTCTATGATGGTGTTTATCAACATTGAACTCTTACGACTCATAGTAGGGTCGAACATAAGTTCTTCAGCAATTTGCATCAAACCCCTGACCATTAGAACTACTGGGAGAGTGTTTAACGATACTATTCATTTTCACTCAATTCGCAACATGATGTGATGATCATTTCATGTCATCGGTAACAGCAGTTTCACCGTCACTATGCCTGGATTGACAGCTATGAGGATTTCCAAAAGTATTTTGAAATGTTTAGTAAATAGACTGGTTCTTTTATTTTAGTTGAAAGTGTTTTTAAGAGATGTGTTCAAGATGTGGTTTACATAAAACATTTCCCAAACGATCCACATGTCCTGCGTTGAATGTCTTACGGGGTCAAATGGATCCACTCTCTGGAAGTCCCACAATAAATCGAAATAGATTTTCAGTACTTATCAGCTTTCAATGATGCCCTCATTGTGATCAATCGGTGACAAATAGAACCCACTAATTACATCAATCTCAACAGAAACCCCTTCATTCAGACTGGTTTTGACAATCGATTATGTTTTTAGTTATTTCCAAATCATCGACATGTTGTTTTGTTTGCATCACATGGTTTTACACAAAACGAATAAAATATTTCGTTGAGAAATGCAAACGGAAGTTCAAATGTTTTCAAAACTCTCATTCATACGAATGATTTAAAATCACAGCCTGTAATAATGCAAAACACAAGTTCCATTATTTTGTTTCGTTCAATCATAAAAATAATCTCTTATCATACATAAAATTTAACAGCTACATCCAAGTTCAATGTAATGTGGTCCCATTTCTAGGTTTGCATTTAAGCCAGTAGACAGTATATGATAGCACACTCATATTATAGTTTAGTAATGCTATTCTGTCTTCAGTGCGTAACTGTAAATTTCATTATTGCATGAGTTTGTTGGAGCGATAATTATCTATAACTACTGCTAGTGAGAGACTATTGAAGGTCATCACTTAATAAAGTGTTTATAGCGACTCTGATTTTCCTTTGGGCTTTAACACCTAATGCTTTCTCCTCATGGGATTGTACATAACACAAAGTTGAGTACTTTAATTTTAATTGTATTGGTCTCAATACAGCAATGATCAACTCAAACTACTAGTTGTATTTCATCGTCGACGAAATGTTAACAATCAAAACAAGAAAATCTAAACAGGATTTACTACTGTTATAGGATTACGTAATTTATTCAGACTTTTGACAGATAACGAGTCTAATCAGATCAGTTATTCCATCACTTATAAATTTACTGTTTATACTTGTTCAACTGTGGCTCTAATCATTTTTCATGCTCATGCGCATGATAATATTTATTTGTATATCCACTCTCTGTATTTCTTATTCGTTGAGTCAGTGCACTACCAAACAACGATTCTTCATATATTCGCTACATCTTTCATCCCTTGTCTGTCGTTCAATTTCAACATGTTTAAAATGTCCGTATCGCAAATAAAATTCGTATTCAACTTTTGATATCCACAATGTGTCAACGAATTAAACCGCACAAATATTTCAACGGCATCACTACCGCATCACCACGATGGAGTCAACAATTCGGTTCTAACATATGAAATTTACTAAAGACAGACAAAACAAAGTCGTTGTTTAGACAGAGTACTTTATAAGCTAAAATATCCATTCCAGTGAGGGTACAAGGATGGAAACACTCTTCACAAAGTATAATTCACTGCACAAAACAGTAAGCGTAACGTCCATTTCAATCTTTGGGCAGTTTTTTCAATTATCTTCTCAAACCATGATTGCATCAATTCAGCACGCTGAGCACCCGTGGCCAAGACTTCTTCATGGTTCGCCTTCACACTGCTTTCAACATCCAGAACACTTATATTTGTAACTAGTGAAACAGCAAACACTTGAATTCCACAGTGCCGAGCAATTACAACTTCCGGTATCGTACTCATACCTGTAATAAATGAGAAGATAAGCATTAACACATAGACATAAGGTTCTCTAGATAAATCGACGAAAATGAGAGAGTTTGGCTGGTTTTCCTCGAATTAAGAGAATGTGTCCCACCTAAAACACGGATCAAAGATGTGAGGTAATTACTGAGCGACGTTTTTCACATGATTATTTAATTACTTGCCGAATATTCGAACACTGATTAATTAAACACCTACAACATGTCCGGGTTGGATCCAGAGTAATTACATGTAAAATTGGCCAACTGTCAACCAAGAACATGCTCTCAAATATCACACGAGCATCTACCGTATATTTTATAAACAATACAGAAATCTGGAGTGAAGACACGCCGCTTGCGTCTTATTCTCACAAAACTGGGTGAGGAGCATGTTACTTCAAAGCATTCAACAGATTCAATCTGATAACACAAAGCATTCCCATTACCTGATCGATTAATGGGACAGTAATTGACTGCAGACAGGTGCTGTCTAGATGCAAGTGCTTAGTAAATACTGGACTGTTCCAGAACATCGAAATATGCAAGGTTCCGGTTTCAATCACCTTCGGAGGTTTCACCGAAAGTTATTGGATTAGCATTTTTGCGCGTTTGAACTGATGTTCGTTGAGAAAATTTGAGTAAGTATTTTACTCATGTAAGGTACTTTGATTTAGACTAAATATCTGCCTAATGTAAACGAAATACCAATCGTTCATTGTTCTGATATTTTTTGGTTTCCATGTCATACATGTTTCATTTCTAATGAGTTTCTGAGGTTTAATATCTTGAACAAAATAAACCAAAGTTAATGGTCACAATCAGACTGATACAGTTCTGAGGCTGCCTCAAACACAATGTTAGATATGTCTCTTAAGAATGCATAGAGCTGAAACATTTCCATATGACCTGTTATCCGTTGATCACACAGAAGATGCCTAACTAGTTAAAGCTAGCGTACGAAAGGTATGCTGTCACTTGAAGAAATCATCTGTAACATTCTGTTTCAAAAGCATGCAGTTTGAATGTCATTTAAATTCAGTAAATAAATTGTTGTCTAATTACCGACTACATCACAACCCATGTTAAGAAGCATCGTGTTTTCAGCAGGTGTTTCGTAACAGGGTCCACCATTCATCACGTAGACACCTTGATGAACCAAATTCCCAAAGCCGTTTTCTACAGCTACTTGTATAGCTAGTTTTCGTAGGTCACTGTTATAAGCATCCGAAAGTGCTGGGAATCGAGGACCAAATCTACAGAAGTGAAATTAAACACAATGTAACATACTCCTCCTGATTCGGTCCGACAAGAACATTATTTAATCCTAGTCCGGGAAGATAAATATGGTCTTTCAAGATCACGAAGTCACCAATTTTGAGACTTCTGTTGAGACCACCAGCAGCATTACTAACCATAAGAATTTTGACTCCCAATAGCTTCATCACGCGTATAGGAAGAGCGATCTATGGCAACGAGATAATTAATCATCACAAATGTATTACCGTGTCATTGGTGTATCCCTCGTACATGTGAAACCGTCCTTGCATTACGACTACTGTTCGGCCGCTCAGAGTTCCAAATATCAGGTTTCCGGAGTGTCCAACAACTACAAATTTTAATTGAATGTATGCAATCACTTACCAGACGTTTGAGGAAAGTTGGGTATCTTTGTGTATGGAATTGTGATTTTACCTTTCACCCCATCAGCCAACTTCCCCAGACCACTTCCACAAATGATTCCGATTTCTGGTTTAAAACGTACTGATTTAAGTAAATGGTCTGCAACTTTCTTAATATTATGCATGCTAGCGTCCACTGGCTTAGGCCTAAATTTACTTGTAATTCATATTAATTCAGCAAACTTACATTTTCAACAGGAGATTTCTATATAACGCTGAAAATGAAGTGAATGTGAGAGTTAATCTAGTTTTGTTGAATAACTACTCTGTATATTTTGGTTTTGAATGAATAAATAGTGTACTATTGATAAGAGTTATTTTTTTAAATTTTATGGATAGCCTTATATCTCAGACCGTTCGCTTTTACGTATCTAAAAAGTTTCTACATAAACCTTTATTTGTTAATCTGTATTTTATTTTCGAATATTTTAAAGCATACATTTTCATGATGTTCTTGTGTTTCACTTACCAACGCAAGCTTGTAAAATAGCTATTAGAAAAATGACTGTAAAAACTTCTCCTTTTGCTCTTACGAACCATAATACCCCATTATCTTGTATTTTATCACCTTAAGAATCACGAATTTGTAATTCTCAAGCTTTTTTTGGACATCCAGACTTTCAATCAACTCGGCAGCATGAGTCACTCTGATGCAGTCAAATAAAAAAAATTTTTCAAAAGCAATATAGTGAAATTACTGGTAACTATTGCAACACGAAAACTAATTTCCGATTCAAATTTTTATATACAATGAATTTCACCTTGAAAAGGTTCCAGTTTGTTTTAGTGCTAAACCTTCAATCTTTCCAATATCCATAATATCATTTTCTTTAGCTTGTGCAAGTCATTTGATTACTTTACACCCGCTTCGTGTTGTCTTGGTACGGTTACATGTTTTTAATATGTCCCTTTGGTGGTAGGCTAGTCACTTCATTTAATTAGTTGTAGTCGGTGTATTAATTATTTGTCGATTCGTATATCTCGTAGTTTTAGTGAGTACGTTCGACTTGATACAGCACTATATAGCACTATTCCTATGGTCATGTGTAAACAATGGATTTATGATTTTTTTAAGTTTTTCACTTAATCAAATCAACTTCATGTCTTTAGATTCCTTTCAAGTTGTGCATTTCTATGTATTCATACGAAATTTACTGTAAAATTCCGGCCTCTATTCTGAGACTGTATTCTCGATGCGTAATTACTCAGAGTTTCTCAGTCTTTAAATATCACAGCGAACTGGACAATGACAACAACAAGTTGTTTTAAGGTAGTACAATTATGTCCTACTTCGGTATTGGTACTTCTATAATAATGGAACTGATCCCAAATGAACAGATTCGTCACGATATGACTACCCAATCTAAAGGATCTTACGTTGAAATCGCATCATTGTCTACTTCGGCTCGGCGTATAGTAACCATCAGCAGTTTAATGTTTAGCGTTACTCAAGTACACACTTACGCTGGAGATAGAACAATATGTTCAATATGAATAAGAAAGATCACACCTGTAAGGCTGAGCCACACTATCCTACAAAATGAAATGCATGTTCCTGCGTTCTCCATAGTCGGCCTTCTCTCCGTATTTAATATCTCTTTTCCAAGTTATCACATGTTCACCTTTGAAGACATTGTGAATAGAACTAATACCACAAAGAGGTGTTAGTGAGTTTTTAAAGTTGTTACCTGCTGATATTTAGTGAAATTTTTGAACCAGTGTCTGATTTTGTTTGTCCATTTTGTTAGGTGACTCGGGATACTTTAAGCTGATTTCGGCACATGTTTCGTAAATAATTTAACATTTTTGATGCTTGAAAATATGAGCATGTTGCATGAAACATTTCATACTGCGGTATTGGTGGTATATGACTGCTGTTTGATAATTTCATATATCGCCGCTTAATCCGGCTATCGCTATTTGAGAACGTTTTATGAAGATTTTCAAATTCGCAATGGAACCATTCTATATATTTGAAGTAGTTCTTAAGGCATTGAAAATCACTTTTTTGATAAAATTTATTAAACACTTCCTAGCTGGTATGAAACTCAGAAGACAATATTAAGAATGGATTGCAATTTACTATTGTACAGCGCAGATAACAAATGTGCAAGTTTATGGAGCAGATTGTAGTGACCTACTTTTGTCAACAGAACGCGATTAGTTCAATGAAAACAATTATTACTATAACCAATTGTACCAGTGACTGTTTCACTGTGCTCGTTTGTTTAACTGTGCTAATGACAGCCATTATACTTACTTACTCGCCCGTTGACTTTGAACTTGTACGAATTCAGTTACGCTCAGTAACCACGCTTGTACTCCTTTGGCACGATCTCGGTATTCTTTCGATACCACGAGATCGCCAACAAATACATCTCGACTACAGCCATCATCTGTCTTCTGATGTTGACCTACGGGGATCTTATTGGTTAATTGGCACGTAGTCTTGTAGCGGTGTTCATAGTCAAGCTCAACTCGACACCACGCTACAAGATCATCAAACAGAACAAGCGGATGAGTAAAAAAGCGATTGAATTGATAAAAATACTAAGCACATATTTAGAGATGCGGCAAGTATTCGGAGTTTGACGACACATTAACCAGTATTACCTATCATAAACGAAATATGTCAACCACGTGAAATCGGAATTCTCAAGCGAAGAGGGCTTGAAGATATATTTGACACAATACCGATATATCGAGAAGTGACTAATCTAAGCTGGCTAGTGGTTGTAGGAGAATTGAAGCTCAAAGACCCACTCGAGATCTGATGCAAATGCGTGACTGAGCACATTTAGATAGATGAATACAGTCAAACTAATGCATTCAGTATCAAATGTAGAAAACTTACAGAGCTATTGATCTTGGAGATTTATTTAACGCTATACAATTAGTGTAAATTGAATCATTCGTCGAGTGATTTAAGCGGCTAACATTCGATCTAGTATGAGGGATATGTCTGTATGCTGAACTATGTTACAAACCATATATTCCCATGCAGGACTGACGGATATATTGTAGCTGTTCCATTAACACTTTGTGAAATTCGTTTACTGGGGAAGTTAACAACTGAAATCCGAACCAAGACCAAAACAATGTGAAAACTGTTGCGTTTAAACAAATGGACGAAACTGTGGACAAACGCTAAAGTGATTAAGGTGCAGTGATTATGATGATAAACACAATGATAAGTACAATAAACGTCATAAATATATGTGAACAATTCTAAATATTTCAACATAGATGTAAAAATTGTTGGGAATACAACTGCTTACAGAACGTAAATAAGTAGTACAAAACAATATACAAACGAGTGGAAAGCAAAAGAGTAGGAACAATTTAAGACAAACTTAACGGCTAGAAGGGGTTTTGTGGAAATTCTAGTAATTCCAATGGTTGAGATCATGAGTCAATTGGGGCCAGACCACCGTGGGAAACCTGGAAGCACTGGACGGCCTTTTCGCCTCAACGTGTGGCTCCTCAGAAGTGCGCGTCCACTACCTCGCCTCGCGGGGTCCGAACCCACAGCTTATCAGTCTCGCGCCAGGCTCTTAACCAATTAGACCACTGAGCTGGCATCCAACGTTGTCAATGTCTAACCTCAACTTATCCACGAAACTTAACAATTACTTAACTAACATACGGTTGCAAGATGTAGTGGGGAGCACTTATGAAATTGTGGAAGTGAAAATTACCTGGTGCCTGAATCGCTTGTGACGTGAGATTGCATGTTCAAAACAGAGTAATCGTATCTTCATCAGCTAGTGAGAAAATTTCATCATATGATTGTGTAATTCTGTTCATATAATTGATGGGCTCTCGAAAGTCAAACTGTTGAAATACTATGGGTTAATCATTTCGACAGTTTGTAAGTTCGTCGAGTAACAATCAACTTAAGACCATTTTAAAACTGATTTGCGATCCCCACAATACGCGTGATAGCTTTCATACCCAGATTGATGAAAGTGATATCAGCGTGATGATACACGTTATGGGAAAAATTTTCTAAAGATATGTCATTACGACAATATACCATCAAGTATAATTTCAAGACCTTTACGAATGAAGCAAATAAAGTAAGGAATTCTACGTTTAAAATGTTTCTGCACAGTATACGCGCGGAAATATGTCTTATCGGTTAGTAAAAATAAAGTGATTCGACCATACTTCAAAGTATATTTGGGTCGGATTTTCTTGCACATCAGCTTACTCTCTTCACTATTTAATATAGTAGTTCGGTGAACTTTGGTTAATCCTTGCAGTTTGATTTCTAACGAAGGTTTAGTTTCTCTTTTGAGGTGTTCGCTAATAGGGCTGATACCACTTGTTCTACCCGGGTATCTGTTTAATCCTAGTGAAGACTACACTACGGGTAACTTTTATGAACTATAAAAAAACTAATATTATATGTATTCTAATCGTATAACTATACCTTAACTAGATTGTGCATATCTATATTCGTTTTATCATATGATCGCTATGGACTCGGAGATGATTAGTTCTTGAAGGAGCAAAAGTGTAAGACATACAATCATCCAAGACATTATTAAACATACGGGATAACAATAACATGTCACCTGGCGTTTGAAGATACGATAAGGTGGCAAAGTTCAGGCGTTTTAAGTGCTCATCGTAAAGGGAATTTTTAAAGACTCTTCGCCAATGTTCAATGTGCATTAACATAATCTTTATAGAATTAAATTCTAAGTCACAATTTTAAAGCGATCCAACTTATTCGTTTAGATCACGTTGAAAATCAAAATGATCAAACTCGCCATTTATTATTCTCCAGATATTGACATCATCTACTGATAATAATGTCAACGACTAAGTCGCGGTAATTCACTGACAAAGGGAAGATGACAGAGTACATAAAATGATGCCTTGGGGTACATTACTTTTGATTTTTAGCCTATTGATAGGAAGATGAATCGGAAGTATTTCCCGAACCTCAGCAGCTTTCGATTTTCCTGTCGATTTAAATAGGGCAAATTAATAGCATACATGTTGACAATGCAATGAACGATAGTGTTATGGACTACAAGTTTTCCTAACGAAAAGAGTAGCTGTGCTTTCCTAACCAATCACCTTTGTAACCGTTATTATATAAACCTCAACGGTGCTTGAAATGAGAAGTCAAAGATAAGCAGCGACTGCAGGTTTATTAGCAGATAGCTCAGACCACAAAACGGAGAGGTGAAATAGTGCGCACTTTTTAAGCAGTGTTAAGAACAACATTGATGCGACTGCGTAAAGTTGTCTATGCATAGAATGGAGAGTTGGCTGGACCCCTTACGTAGTTTTAACGTGCATGTAAGCTCTTGGCGCTTACAAATACAAGACTGAGCTTTAATAAGAAAATAAGGAGTGGATTACCATGCAGTCTCTAGAATACTAATCCAAAAGTCAGCTGAATATCTCACAGACCTTAAACTGCCACTAAAAGTCAAAGGTTTTTCACACCTTTAGGCTCTCAGTTTAGTTGGTATATGAAGTTAGCACCAAAGATCTCTGAAACCTCTAAACTACTGAGATCCAAACCATTTGGCCCTTTTAGAGCACAGATCCCTTAGCTTGTGAGCTTTTTCTCGGTCACGATTCGGTAGAGATATTTGGGGTCACCTTTATTTTGGCTGCTAGCTTGGCCTGAAGACATACCCTATTACTACAGACTCTGGCGTCGCATCTGTTTCTCAATGTCAAGTAAAAGCTAACCTTCGAATCCCTCATGAAGACTTTCATCTTGTCACCCACCGTTTGGCCAGTTATAAGCGTTCTGTGACTCGTCTAACACAGCGTTATCACTTTCCTAGTGCATGCTTACGCTGTGGCACGTAGTGTTGGGTAGCATACTGAATATCTGTAGTATTATAGTTTACGATTATATTGGTAACTACCTAATGTATAAGATCTTACGTTGACGTTAAATCACTATCTACCCTGACACATTCGTATTGTAACAATCATCAATATATGATGAAAAACACATTTAGGCTAGAGATAGAGCAATATATTTAATAGAGATAAAAAGCTTTTGCAATAGTAGGATCACAGTGATAGAGAACCGTGCGGCTATAAGAAATTACATTGAGATGCTGTCCGTGATTTTAACGAGCGATGAGCATGTGGAAAAATTCTCATTTTTGTGTTATATCCCATCAGTAGTCTATATCACTAGCACTTTGTGATGCTCCTTCCCTCTATTTTGTTCTTTGCTTGTTTATCTTATTAGAAGTGGAGACGTGAGTGTGATCCTGATTACTTGGTGCTGAATATATTTTTGGTTTTGGTGTTGAATTGTCCATGCCGTACATACTACTGTGGGGTTCTTTGACCGGTTTCGTCTTGGGCTTTTTTATAATGCTGTTTCTAAGAACGGGGATTGTCGACTTATTATTAACCTCTGATATAAGATCTCTAGTTCTGCTAGTCGCCCTTTTGGTGAACTAGATGAACATGCAGTACGTATTCTTTTGAGCGTCCTAATATTTGAATATGCTAGTGGAAAGGTGAATCTTCCCTGTTAGTAGTGACGGATCAATAATGTCATGCCAAGCTCAAAGAGAACGCCAACCATTTGGTAGTAAGCTGTCTTTTTTGTAAAAAATGAATACATTTCTTCACACCCTTTATATTTTTAAATGTCCGATTTCTTCAGATTATTAATATCGTGTTATTTAATAGTGGCTGTCCGTTGAGTATGAATGACCGGATAAGTCCACACAGCACAGACGCCATTCTTTCAGAAGCGAAGTTTGCTCATGTTGTCTTAGTATATAAGAGCATTACATCAACCGTCCTCACTATTTACCTCATTCTATACCGGGTTATATTCCCTAACGCTTCGTTCTTCTATTGGTTAAAGATCCCTTTATTGCTGACTATACAAATTAAGTCACATAATGAAATCATAAGAATGCTCAAATTTCACATATTCATGCCACCAAAATACAAGTATGGATTCATTAAGTTAAACGCAAAACAGTGCCTATATAACTGAAATGTTACAGTGAAGTAAGTTGGGAGTGCCTTTGAATAATCAAAGAAGTTCACACTTTATTCTGTGTTTATAGAAACTTGTGAAACCAGTGGATATGACTATTATTGTTAGGGCTTCCCTTACCACAAAATTATATCAACTATGGCTCATCTGTGCAGTTTCTTCCCGTCGTGTGCCACCTGAAAAGCTTCAGTTATAATATTTTGGAATAATGGATTGGTATGGATGTAGCACATTTCTAGTACTTGATCAACCTTGTGCTCAGTTATACGGATGACCAGGATCAGCATATTTCTCAGCACAGGATGCTTGTCGAATAACTGTCATAATAATGCCAAATATAACAGCTCTCTTCTTCCACCTATGTAGGGACGTCGTTTGCGTTCCTCCTATTAAATATAATTGTCACTAAGACCACACTGCAGAACTTAGCGAACTAATCAAAAACATTTGTGACAATAAGGACACATTGAAAAGCTTTGTCCCAACCGGGTCACGAATGACAGAATACGATCTCTTCTGTGAGTGTGTAACTTTGATTTGTCGCCGATATTCATTTGCTAATTCAACTAACAACAATATAGGACAAGTCATTCTCATCAATGTTAATCTGGAACTACAGTTTGTATAAGCAAACTTATTTCGCCTGATCAATAGCACTAATCCACTTGGGATAAATATGATTAATGTGACTCCTTAGCTCACACTATGTTATACTGAATTCGTATCAATAATGATTTTCTAACCCAGGCATCTGTAACTAAATGGTCAATCTACTCTGTCCCAAAATACAGGAGAAGAACAGATAGCAACAGAATACAAGAGTACAGACCAGTACCGTATGAGCCCAGATATGGATAGCTCAAAAAGTAAACTCCATTATGGATTTGCGTAGATTCTCATAATCGTTCATAATGTCAATAATTGGGGATGATCAGTTTGTAGGAAAACGCAAACAAACGACTGTAACACGTAGCATGATTATAGTGAGCAAAAATGGTCAGTAATTCCACAGTTTGATATAATTTCATACATATCTGATAGCCTTCGTAAGTTCAAAACAATTAATGATGTCATTAAAGAATACTTGGTTCTCACAGCACAACCACAAATCACCATTTCGCCTTTAAGTTCATGTGAATGTCTTGATATAAGAATTCAAATTTTGTATTGTAATATAAATAACCATTCAATTAAAAAGTTGAACTTCTACCTTAATTAATGAATATTTTATTTCTTTAATTCTGTTGTATCGTTTCCCATTGATGGATATTTAACTCACCCTGAAAATGTAAGGCTTCTATCTGTTTCCATTGTTTTCGGTGTTCATACGTAATGCCATGTCCATGCTACTTACTCCTGCTATTGCAAGAATTTAACTGTGCACAGTAGATTCTAAAAGTTGACATGAATCAACTAAGATGTTCAATGAACACAACTAGAAGTCATTTATTCAAAAACGCAGGTTTCATTACAAGTAGTCAAATTACTTAGTTTTCCACAAATAAAACAGTTGGAGATTATATCAATAGTGTTGGCGACATAAATAGACGGATAAAATATTTCGAAATGTAAAATAGGTACTATAAAGATCAAATTACAAAACACGTTACGTTCGCCACTACATAAATGGTATAGATAACTAAAAGTAAACTTAATATGTCAAAACAAAAGTAAAGAAACACAGTCTAGATGCTTAATTATAACGAACAGTATTTGAAAAATTTTCTAACGGATATCGAAAATTAACCTTACTTCTGGGTAATCTTACATGTATTTAGTAATATGTAGCAATGTGTAATATTAGGCATGTATGCCTGAAAATAATGTAAAAATATGATAACAAAGCATTTACGAGGTATGTAAAAAGTGAACAGGTGCTTCCAAAGAACGCTACAATTCACCAATTAATACACACTAAACTCAAGTGGTCATAATAAATAAAACAAATTACCTTTCACTTCACATTCAACATAAAAGGATAGGTCAAGCAAACAAACAAACAGTGTTATGAAATATGTAACAATGGTAAAGATAATGTGACAGAAATTAATTGCTACATCTTAAACAAAATTTGTATAAGGATTCAAAATGTGCGATAAAACAGACAAAATAGAGAGTACTTAAAACCTATTCAAAAGGTTATGATGTTACATTTACACGGTACAAATCTATTAAAGTATACTTTTCAAAACACTACAATGACAGAAGCTTATTAGAAAATATTAGAAAATAGAAAATCGATCCACTGAAGTCGCACATACAGTAACAACCTACTGTAAAAATATAATGGTTAAAGGATTAACGAAAAAGATTTATTTACGAAAATTCAATAGGTAACGCTAATATACATAGAGTTCTGCTGTCACCACAAACCTTATTACTAATTAAGATGGAAATTACCTTGTAAATATTTGCATCAATTATATTATGAAATTTCAAATAACAATTAAGATTTAATGAACAGATACCACACAAATGATTATCAAAAAAATGAAATTTATTCAAGATAAATCTTAACAATTCATTAGGAGAATTAACAAGAATCATCGACTTTAGACTAATCATTAAATTTCACGATTGCAAAGATTCTTACGTTGATCTTTATTAAACAAACTATAAAAACAAGATATTGTTTTCAAATGATCTTTATAGTTAAAATTAGTCAACATAGACAATAATATACAGCAAAACGAAACCAAATCAGTTACAAAAATATAGTGTATCACATAAACGAATCAGGCACGAAGTTCATATTAACATTTTTTAAAAAGGCAAGAGTTTTCAATTTATGCGGATCATCGAAATTGAAGCAATTCACCAGATGATGTGTAGGAATGTCTTACTAAGAAAAAGTAACATACACAAAAAAATGCATGAGCGTTTCTTTGTTCTAACTATTCCACAAAATCTAAGTAACCAAACCAATATAAACATGTAATATACACAAACTATTGAAAATATCTAAGATACGTAGGTTATTACCTCACTTTCAGTTTGTTCATTTGTACACATTTGATATGTAAATATGATGTAAGAATAAAAGTAACAATTCAAAATCACTATTGTCTGTATTCTAAAGAAAATTAAATATTGATATTTCAAGAAAATTATGACTTAAAAGAGAATTTCTGATGATCCATACAACATGTATCCAACCCAACCCACAATACTAACGAAAGCAGTCATTATAAAGATCACAGACCATTGGTTTGTAGTTTCTAATATATAACCAACCATATAGACACCTGCAAATCCTGGAAATGTACCAACGGTAGCCATAATTCCTGTCATGAATAAAAAATCAACAGAAATAATACAATGTAAAATTATACAATCAAGAAGTATGAACACAAATTTTTTATCCGAAAGGGAATTACGGATGAAAATATAGACCATTTAGTTTCGAATTGCCGGTCCAAAAATCCCGCCGCAGAACCCGAAGGATTAGGGCTTGGTCTCTCAAGTGATGGGGGGTTCACAGAAGTGAGTTAAACAGTTTGACGAAACATCTAAGTATAGGACACTCAGTATTCAGTGGGACTCCATATGATGTTATTTCTCAAGACAAACACTATCCCCATAAACATTAACAACCACTAGCGACTAGTTTCGAAATGAGTTAATAAAGTTCCAGGGAAAAGTCGTGCTTCTGTAGTTCAAACATAAGGAAGTGAAATAGCCATTATCAGTTGAATTGGATGATCATCATATTACACCATGAGTTCATTGAAACAAAGTGTGGACCGACCGATAACGCACTCGATTCTTGATGAGATCGTAGGTGTGTACTGACGAGACTCACAATAGAAAAAAACAGCAATCAAAAACTTCTCGGTTTTTATTAGTACAGTAACTAGTGTATAACCATCACAAAAAGTATCTATTAATTATAGTCTAATTAAACCAGCTGCAAACAGATCATGAATCGATTGAAAAACAGAAATGCATGAATATTTGAATATTGAAGAGTAATTTCTACATGTTTTTTGCAAGACAGTAACCGAAAACAAAACCTACCGTACAACTGACCACCATGATTGGGAGCCATGTCTTGAGGATTTAACAGTACACCACTGCAATGAAAGCCTAAACAGGCTAATGCAAAAGCCATACAAATTAGTGACCCATAATAATTATCGAGAGATGATAAGATGATAAGAAATAAAGATGAACCCAAAAGAACAACTGTCTGTATAACATAAAAATAAAGTTAGTAAACATATAATTATAGGATCAAGGAAAAAATTAAAGACAACGAAACCAAATGTTAAAAAGAAATACTCAATTATACAATGGTTTTCTGCATGGTCTACCTACGCTGCCTCACATAAGCTTATGGTTTCGAGCATTTAACACCATTAGAATTTATAAATTATGCAATACAGAACTTAACACCTATATCTTAAAAATATTTCAACTACCGGCTACTTTTACTATACACACATGGTTGAACTTCAATGGTGACGGTTTTTCATCAGAGCCCCGAGAATTACCTCTCGTCATCAGTGAGCCATGATTATTGTTAGTATATAGATGGTTTGTAGACGTTTTTAAGTTTCATAACACACATCACCAATTAACCTTAGTTAGACAAGCACTGAAAACCAGGAAACCTTGGACAATATATTTCATAACAGTATGGGATTCCTCGGCAATGTGAGACCAGGACCTCGTCGAAGATTGAACCTGGGACGTTTTATGCTCAATCTAAGTCCTTAACTCTTAAACTACTGATCCAAGATCAATAGTTTAAAATATTTTATACTTTTGAGGTTATTCGGTCTAGATTTACTGCATCTTTGGAGCTAAAGGAAAAACACCATTGAAACTTTATCTGTTAGGATTCTCTTGAACAATTTTGTTAATCATTGTTAGCACAGTCAGGCTAATTTGAAATTAAAGTTGTTTAATTCTATATTACTACCCAATAACTATTACCGAGTTCACATAGCAAAATCTGAACAACCATTTTAGCGTGATAGTTATCGCTATTGATGTATGTATTACACTATATATCCAAATCATTATTATTTGAACATCCCAAACAGTAAAGTATAATATTCTGCTTATTATTATTATTCTGTGAATATATAATTACAAGTGAAAATGTTTCGTTTTCTTAAACCATAAACTGATTTCCTTTGAAAAACCAGTTGAGAAGCGAACCAGGTAGCTGTTTACTTCATGTTTTAGAGTAGCACACACTCATGAACTTATATCGATTCAACATCACACCAAATAAATCTGAAAATAAGCAACATAATTGTGAAATATTATTGTGTGATTTAAAAGGTCCGAATTCTCAACTTTAGTAAATTGGTAATGTACCATAGGTGAGCTATAGTCTCAGTCCCAGTAAACTGATTCCATAGGTTACAGTTTCTCATTGACACAGTATGAAAATTTATTTATACAAGTAGGTCATTATCAAACAGAATGACTTAGTGATATTCTTGTGATAAATTATGTTTGTAGTAAATACGTGCTCTTTCTCTCTAGTTTCCAATTAGGTTTTCGTGTTTTCTGATAAGCGCAAGTGTAGCCAATCGTTTAGCATCTACAAAAATCAATATATTATACATCAGAAACATTACGGTAATATGTGTACGAACTCACGGTAATTATTTTCCTCACTACTGTTACAGATACACCTAAAAAAATTAAACTAAGTGTAGATAAATAGATAAGGTTTGTAATACAATAATCCTTGATATATAACTAAATGGATATCTGAAAAGTTTACATACGAATGAATCATAGTAAATTTGATACTTATTTGTTAATTTTACGATTCGGACTGTACTATTTGAACCCTACACAAAACATCGATTATGCAGTGGTCCGCATCAACGCGTAAACCGATTATGTAGAGCGAAGTAGTTGAAAAACCGATTACACCACTTATCTTGGAAGTTTTACTAGTCCTGAAAAGTCAGATTGTTTCATTTGTGGAGTAGGGGTTATGTCAGTTTGTCAACAAAAAAGCTGTGCTGAAGTTCGCTTTTCATAACTAAATGACTGTGAAACAAGATCTACGAAAGTAGAATACATGCTTAGACTGAGGAATTCGATCCTGAAAGTCTTTGAAGTATTGCTTAAGTTTCGTGGAACGACGGACTAAACAATCTTATAATTAGGTACAGGTGGCGAACCGGTTAACGAGGTAGTAAATCTTTATCGATTGAAAGAGAACATGAGTTAAGTATGATTAATCACCACCGATATTAACAGACAATGTTTACTCGTTTAGGAGTAGGGTGTAAGAGAAATAGGGACTTAGTCTAAACCATGTTTGTAGATGCAGCCTCCCTGGTTGTGGTCCGTGTGATACATGGTTTTGATTTATTTGACATTCATCACAGTAATTTTACCTCGTCATGTTATTGTGACATGGCAACTTCAATCAATGCGCACTTGTGTTGATTTTTACTGCGTTTTTATAATCATAAAAAAGCATGCTTATTTTAGTGTGACATATATCTAAGTTTTTATTTGTTGATATCTTTTCAGAGAGAGACTTACAAAGAATCTGTTTGTTTTCTTTAATTATTACACATATGAATCATAGAACCTGTCTTTGTTAATAAATAAAATGAGACTAATTTCATGATTCCAATTTCATAAAAATTTATACAATACAGAAAAGTGTGAAGGACTACAATATAAAGAAAACTGATGATTTATGTGAGCAAGAACAGTGAACATTATTTGTAATTAAGTATGGAAACTAATAAACTAATTTTAAATTTAAGTGAAAATAAGAAAGACCCTATCTTTATGAGGATATGACCACCGAAATAAGAAAACGAAAACGAACCCCCTTTGGGCTTAAACATGGCTCATAGTTACAGAAAGTATATCTAGTGGAAATGAGAAGTAAATCAAGATGCTTTTGAACTAATGAACGACATATGAAGCGACTTTGGGTACTGGCAACTACCGTTGATCGATAATCGTCAACAAATTGATCAAGAGAATTCTATGACAAAAATATAGTACAATTACCAGTTTTCATCCAGTGATCAGCTAAGGCACCGGCTAATAAAACAGATGGGAATATAATTAGCCATGGAACCATATTGAAAACCCAACTCTGAAAGATGAACAATTCAATTAGAGACAAGGATTAATTTGTAAAAGAAAACAATAATAAAAACAATGATAAACTTCTATAAAACAAAACAATAAGTAAAATGGTTTCATTATCAATATAGGGTTGTGAAAATTGTTGAATTTCATTGAAATCATGGACCGGCCAATGTTCAACCATCATTAAGTCCCATACTAGGGACAAAATTGATTTCCGGTGCCTTCAGGTCCTTAATGGTAAGTTTGATATTGATCGGTTCATGATTCGAATGAAAATAATTTAATGTCGATGGCTTCAAATTTTAAACAAACGTACAATATTCTCATCAATGTAAAAAATTTACGAATGTGATTTGGTGTGAAACTTGTAGGAAGGGTAATTTTTAGTTACGAAAATAAAACAGCGAAATAATACCAATAATCGTAAATTATAACCAACTTTATAATTTCGACTAGTAAATCTATTAGTTATAATTTTCAAATGTTCACTGTGGCATGATTATGGTAACGATCTTCTTTCTGTTAATTTTTATTCCCATAATGAATTGAAAACACATGGTTGTAGAAAGTAATCAGTGTTCTTGTTTACCAAGTAAACTAAACTTTTTTTTTACATGTTTTATTAGAAATTACATATTTGATCACTTTTTTTATTGACATTAAAATAATGTGCGTTTTTGTGTGGAGTCAGAGCAGCAAACAACGAAATGAATGCTCATTTCATATTCAGCGCTGCATAATCTTTATTGTTATTGCTTAACAAAGGGAAATTAATAAGAAACTAAGAGAAATTGATATGAACAGCTAATCAGTCGATGGCATTAAGAAGTGATCTAAAGGACAAGTGCATTTTATTGGCTAGGAAATCAATCAATCTCCATGCTTTTTTCAACTCTAGTCAAAAATTTATGTTCGACATTGATCACTGTGTATTTAGTTGTGAAACACTATATTGACAATTAGTCAAAAAATAAACAATGCAAATGTCAACATTTGTGAACAGTCTAGAAAATAAATTACAGTACATACACAAACAACAACTAATGTCAAGTGAAAAATATTTTAAACTGAAATCTCACTTACTCTTGCATCGGGATAATTGTCGTGGAAATAAGAAGGACACCAGTTGAGGATAATATAAAATGTATTATTATGAACAAAATTAGCCAAAAGCATAACCCTATAAACAAATAGGGAAAGAGAACAACAATAATGTGATAAAAATAAGTGTTATGAATTAGGACAATTTGAAAAGGATATATAACCATGTGTTCAAAGTTTCAGAGTGGAATATCTGGACAACCTCGTTGTGATTTTTGGCCAGTTAATTTAACACGTGATTTACCCTCCAATCATAACACGATTTATACAATCTTAACACCGTGCCATAACAGTGACGTATAACCGGTAAGAGCAGCCTAGCGTCCTTATTGGTTCTTTTTCTGCCTAGCCCTGTGTGTTGAGTCCAGAACGCCAATATCAGCTTCTACTAAGTGAATCATTTATTTCAGACATGTTTGGTTTTCATACGATCAAACCGAATCAAATCATACCATAAAATAATAAATAATTGTACAAGATCAAACCCAAAAATGGCTGTGATTGTGAGAAAGTGTAATTAGTATACAGGGTATAGTAAATCGTATAATAATAATCTGTAGGTCAAAATAAAGCATATAATAAGAAGAACATAAATATACATAAGATATTAGTCCATTAATAGCTCTCAGAAGTTATCCATAATTTAATCTTCACTAGGACATAACGAACTGGTTCCTGCCATCTACATATTTTAACAAGTTATCTGTTTTTATTTGTTTTAACACATCATCATGACTATTAAGCGCATAACCCAGTCAGGAGCGTTTATGAAAAGTTTACGATCTTTCACTGTACAAGTTACAAAAAAGTACAATCAGAGACATCCTGGTGGCTGGCAATATACATTGAGAAGAATGAATATTATTCAGATATCTATGCCTGAACTGCTAACATCTAACTTGGGATCACTCAATATTTATCGTCAGGATCGAACAAGAAATAGGAGAAGGAAACTTGTTGAAATATTTTTTGCTAAGAATTCTATATTGTACCAAAAATATAATATTGAATAAAGCCATTAATAATAATAATATAATAATAATATAAGACGATTGCATGCTAAGTTGAGTCGAAAATCAATAAAAAGGGCAATAAACAAACGCTATTCAAAAAATAATTAGCTTAGAAAATGTCATCAGTAGATGAAGATTATTACAACAATGATTAACACAATACATTCTAAACAACCTGTTAAGAAAATTTATGTATGTAGAATAAAAGGTTAACTAGATAAATCAGACGGTCTAAGAAAATAATGTTTAAAAAAACAATATGAAGCTCAACAAGCTGAATAATAAAACAATATTACTAAGGTAGGTTTATGGTAAAGACAAAATCATTTCACGAATACACATGCAAGGGGTGCCTGAATTTTCATATTACTAAAGCTTTAGTAAACCTTAGTATATGAACATTTTTCTACAAAATCACAAAAGCCAAGTTAAGATCAACCTTATGAACTGCTTCAAACGTGCGTTAAGCTATAGAAGAGGGTGGATTATTGTCATCTGTTCTTATTGAATCATTTGATTTTATTTGTTTCTGTAGTTATTTTAATACATGTTCAGAATTATTATTATTGTTATTACTATTATTATCATAGATCCTCGTAAGCTGCTTAGAACCTCATCTCTACTGAACTATAACATAAGATCGATTAACAAACACTGGTGATTATAAAGAAGAATTCGCACAACGTATAATCAATACTCCAACAAATTTACTTGTAATAAACATTTATCTAGTTCATATAAAAATCCGTGAATAAGATTTACAACAGTGGCTATCTACTGTTCCTTTTTATATTTGCAAAATTTTTGGAAACAAATCTTTTTTACGATAACATTTGTTGCCAACTGATAACAAATATTTGATCAGTTAATTTTAATGCAATCTTTACTAAGTTCAAAAAAGAACATGACACAAGGAAGAAAACATATCGACTATGGTGATGAATGTGAGTGAATTTAATAATATTTAAGTATGCAATAAATTGTAAGCACATATATAAGAGCTCTGGAGTAGATTAACTATTAAAATACGTGATTAATCAGTTCAACAAATTAAGAAAACAGAAAAATGTATCGTATAATTGAAAAAAAAGTAATCCGCAAAAATGAGCAGATCATCAATATGTTCTTTGTATTATCGATGATATAAACAGATAAAAAAATCGTAGAAAACTGAAATTAAATTCATCAAAACAATATGTGATTAAATACAAATTCAGTTAGTAAGGTGACTTGTTACTGTCTATAAGAAATAATACAACCAGTCGTTCTATTATGAGTTGACAATTAGTATGAAATGATTTACATTTACAAAAAACATGTTTGCTGTCATGAGTTTGTGAAAACATTTATATTTTATTAGAACAAATAAAGAATATTAGATTAACTACAATTTTGTTCTATTAATTCTTAAGTATTTTACAATTAATGCGTGTAGAACGTCATTGAATACACTTTCAAATTGTAGTGAGTGTGAAACAATGTTTAACCTCTAAATGACTGACTGAAAATTTGATACACAGAATTATATAGAAATAATCAGTAATTACTAGAATATAGTTCGTGTATCTGCTTTATAACCTTAGTCATCGGCTTTCATTTAATGAATAACCTATTGTTAAATCTTCTACTTTAAATTTATTGTAATTCGAACATGAGCCTTAGATAATGTTTTTGGTATTCTAATTGATCTATTTTAGCATAAATTATATATTCTCATTTACTCAGCGTCGTGGTTAAACTATTCATATATTTAGACATGAACATTTCTGAATACGGTGGATTCTGCTCTCGTCATCTTTTCTTCTCTTACCAAGCAAAGTTCCCTAAGCAAGTCATTAATCGACGAGCAAGACAGTTTTTCCGCTCACAAAGACAGTTGACCACAAGTGGAATTGATCCATTCGCATTCTTAAGTTTATATCAATTAACCTAGGGCACCAACATCATTAACCAGTTCTGAAACAACTCTCTCTTTGCATATCTAACTAGAGGGGCAGTAGACAGACCAAAGACCCAACAGTATTTTACTGTTAAGGCCTATCAAATTAAAATCGGTTTGAAGTTGATACAAACAGACTTAATTGGATCACCAACAGATGAGTATTGTAACCTTCTGTGTAATTTTGATTTTTAATCATGCCCATGTATCTCTTGCAGCTCCCACCACTATTCGATGTATATAAGAGTTTTATTCTTATATTTTATGAATGACAACAATCGGTTCAGGAAGCCAGTCACTAACTATTTCACTGTGATGTGTTGGTTAGTGTGAACTATCCTCCCAGAGCACAAATGATTATGGTAACCAATGATTGAAGATGACAAGAGACGTGGATGAGGTTCAGCAGTAATGGTGCAAAAGTATACATTATTTGCCTTATAAGTGCAAAGTACTTTTATAAGACTGGTAGGACCTTATGCTTGCACTAACCCTGGGAGTGAGCAGTTAGAAACAGTCCAGAAATTCATGTCAATCTGCGCCACTTTTAGTGCTTTTGTGATGTTACTGTGGCATTACAAGGTCGGATCTACAGCACGTTGGTGAGAGCAGATTCTCTTTACGCCTGTAAAACATGACCTCTCCGTGTTGAGGATGTTAAGCGATTCTATTTGATCATTGTTGTCTACGAATACTGCCGACATACAGTGACATCATTTTAGTAATGCAGAGGTTCGCCAACATGTGTTCAGGTACGGTAACAATAACTCATTAGGTATCACTATCTTCAAACAATGACTTTGGATATGTACTAAGAATATGATACCAGCGAATTCCAAATCGTATATAATTTGACGACGCTGGAACTGTTTGAAAGAGCGGAGATGGTAAGTGTATGACATGTCTTGGTATGGAAGAAAGCTGTACACGACTGGCTTCTGTTGAACCTACACAACTCTCTGGTTGAGGGTTCTGGAGTCGTTTGTGATTTATGAGAAATTTCTTAGAATAGAAGCCACATGGTCTTCCTGAAAATTTTATCATATTCACCTTCTTTTCTCTATATCCTCACAATCTCATTATATATATATATATATATATATATATATATATATATATATATTGGTGCCCTTTTGTACCATTGATTATATTTAAATAGATGATATGTGAAATTCTCTTAAACATCGGAGTTCTAAAATAATCCTGCACTCTTTGCTCCGTGAACTCATCCTTTCCCATAGAATCATATTGTCTGTCCTTAATGTTTTCTACCAACAGTAATACTGTTACTATGTTTGCTCATGTGACATTAATACTAATAATTCCATCTTATTGGTTTACTATGGTGTGGCAACTTAAACCGACTGGTATATGTGCTAGATTTTATGTTTCTAGTGATTGGATGAATGACTGTGTGGAAAACGATGAGCTGATCCATGTACTTCGGAAATCCGTAAAGTAATAAAACCCAAGTGGTACATGTGTCGTCAGTATGTTTAAACAGATATTAAGCAAAAGTTTTACGGAAAAAGGTCCAAAAAATATACCTATGTAAAGTGAATCATTTCAATTATTTATACGTACATACGCACCTACGCTATTGTGAACTATTTTGAGACATGTCACATTATGAAAACCACCCAAACCTCAATCAGGTAATCTGCACTTACGTAAATGGCTCAGCACAGCAGTTAGTGGCACCATGAACAGATGCTACATTTTCGTTCACCCTCTACTATCGATCTTCGAATGTAGTCCTAAACCAACCATTATCGCGCATCGAGGTAGGCGGATGAGGATATGTAATACATGTCCTAACCATCTCAGACGATAAATATTCACTATCACATCAATCGATTTGTCATTGTTACGCAGTACCTTGCGTCTAACTTGATAATTACAAACTCGATAGCCGCAAGATACACGAGGAGTGGTTAGAATATACGTATGACCGAATAGTAGTGACCAACGAATATGCTGCTCTAAGGTCTAGAAATAAAACCATTCTCTATTTTATAAGTTCCCACTTTGTTGTAGATTATCGTAGACAGACTTCAGATTAATAAAGTAGTTAAACATATGTTACGGTCAAGATAAATTTACCAAAATAAATGATTATATTTAGATGGATGGAATCCAACCATATGAAATGAAATGACGGGCATCGATGATAAAAGATGAAAATCGTAATATATCGTAAAGTGATTATGTACTAACCATGAGATATGAAAGTTACGAGTTCGCTACCAATACGGTCAAAAAAGGGCAATTATAAGAAATTCCATGGTAAAATGAAATAGCAGTAGAATACTACGTATATTTAAATAATTACAAAGCCAATGTCAATCTATTAAAAAGACAATTACCCTAATGACAATTTGATGTTTTCGCTTTTTACAAGTTTTGTTTAGAACTATACAGCAAAATAACCTCAAACTAAGTAAAACTTTTGAATTCATGTGATTTTCATAAACAATTTTTTCGGTCAGTCAGTCGTAAGTGTGGATACAGTCAGAAGTTCACTAACAATCGTACCATTAAGAAGTATACAAAATTATTCTCGATGACAAAGTCAATAAAAACCTGTCAAATTGATTACATTGAAAATAGACTTAGACATTTAAAACTCATTTCCTAACACTTAAAGCACTGTGTAATTTCGTAAGATACATGAATTTGGCCCAGACAAGGAATTAACTTCATTTCAATAAATTCCATATTACTCTATTAAAAACAATAGAGATCGATAAGGGCAATAAATTTAGCCTTCATCCCAAACAAGTGAACGTAAATTTCAAGTTCACCGTCCCAATAGAAGGCAAATACATTAGAAGCTATTAAATGTTTAACAAAACATTTTGAAATTGTATCGTATAATAAAGTAATAGTATGGCAAGCTTATGATATAAAAAAATGAAGTAATTCATACTTGAATATAATCAAAATAATTTGACCCTTGAATCGATAAATTCAATGTTACATTTCCTGAAAATTGATTTTATCACATGGCTTATGAGTACCGCGTTGCAGCGTCGGTTACTATTTTAAGTTCACATAAATTATTCTAGCTTCCGGACAGGCCAATTTATCCATTCTTTTTGAGCCACGTCTTGACCTTGTTAATTAATCACTTATCAACCCTGACTGTTATTATATACGCGTATGTGTGTTTGTATCATATCTTACTTATCACATGTGTGCAACTTATTTCTGTTCGGCAATAAATATCGATTAACACTTGATTAAATCAAGTTGGCTCACACGCCTTCTCCATCACGCATTTTGCTTCGCTCTCCTTTCTTCGCTTCGATTTTTTGCTCGTTTGTCTGTAACAACGATTATATGAAATATACGTATTCGAAATTCATTTTCGTATTTGACTTATTTAATTCTGTTATTCACTGACGTGATTTAGGTCGATAATTATATACGAGGATAGCCGATATGTTCATTTCATTTGCATTTACACGATCCAATTGGAGTCAGACATCGGGCCACTAAAGTGGTGAGTCCGTCAATAACACCATCCGATCTAATTGACGTCAAAAAGAAGGGCCCCACTAAAGCGTGATTTGTAGCATAGTGGTGTGTGCTACTTGTGTCGACAGATATAAGTCGTATGTGTCAGCAATCACAAGTGAAATGCCTGGCGGCAGAAGGTTAAGAAGATCGAAGGAAAGAGAACGAGAATAGAGAGTGACTGAAAACGAAGAATCAAACTTGAGACGACTAAGTGACATTATGCGAACGCAGTATTAAATATATGATTCTCAGATTTTACTAAAACATTCTTTAATTTTGTATTCACATACATTTGGTTGTCCACGACTGTGTTATCATTTACTACAACATTTGGAGTTAAGATTGTTCATGACAAATAATATGCTTTAAAACACAGTCGATAATGAATGTGATTATATGAATCAAAACTATGAGAATCCTACACTTAGTTGTGAAATAGGTTTACTTATAGATGCTCAGAATGACATAATATTGATAATACTTAGTAAGACGTAAATTCACAAAAAAGATTAAAAATCAATTCATTTATCAAATATAGATCCATGTACTACAATTCGAACCCGTTTTAGTGCTACTACCCGTTTGTTTAAGCATATATATATATATATTGTATTGTATTGTTGCTACGGTTCGCCTTCCTAAAAAATGAATTAATTGTACAAAGTTCATTGAAAATAATATAATTAAACAAACTGTACATTATAAGCAAAGATATATGGTGGCTAGCAATGGAACGTCCTATTTCGGACTCATCAGCTGGATATAACCTGTATTCCAGAGTTAGTGTTCACTCCGGGACTAGAATCCAGTATTGTTCGTTTCAAACGCCATCGCGTAATCTACTTAGCTATTAAGTCCAGAAGATTCAAACAAACAATATGAAAATGAATTAAAATCTGTGTATTAGTTTATTAAAACATAAATTTCTAAAATGTAGTTTTAAATCCACCAAATAGTTTAAACTTTCAACTCTAGAGCCTCAAAATAAAATATATTTTGGAGTCAACACCAAAAACATTTAATATTTAACAAATCAGTGCCGTGAACTATTTATCTCAAATAAAAAGTGAGTTTTCACAAATTCCAATGACAATTAAATATATTTCTAAGAACAGATAAAGTTTATTGTGCAAAAAAAGATTTGTTCAGTATTACAAGATCAGCGATAATTTCTCACTACTACAGAATTATACTGAAAATCCCCTTTAAATAACTACACATAACCAAATGGACAATGTATAAAACATTACCTTGAACAAGATATAATAGCTTACCAAAATGGTTTGTGTCTGAAAAGAAGAGACCAGTTTAAATGTCGTAAAGGCACACTGGATACGGAATCATTATCGATACTTTTTGAATCTATGTACACATATGTTGATTCTGACGGCTACAAAAGAAACAAAGTAGACAATATCACAAGACCGACATGAATATAACTTAAAAAGATGAATATATTTACAGTATCAATAATATAACGTATAAATACACTTTTTAAGTAATTTCTTTAAAGACGTGGTAAATTGATTTTCAGTAAGTAATGAAGTGATTGAATATATATATATATATATATATATATATATATATATACACGCTACACTTAGTCATTCGATTTGTGTGAGGGCTGGAATACTGCCCGTGCAGCCAAAGTGAAGCAGGTGGTTTTCTTAGAGGGCCAGTCCTCGAGCTATTGATTTAGAGGTCTAATCCACAAGGCAGTGAAGGAACGTTAGTAGATGCAGTCTCATGGTAGTCGGTGACCAACTAAGCCCGAGTAAACTGTTTTTACCATGAAACGTAATTAGCCTGATCATTGATACACATTGGTTAGCATTAGTTTACGTTGTCTACAACCACTATTTCTCGTTATTTACCATTTCCATCAGTATGATTCTTCCTTAAGGAAGTAAATAACAGCAAGTATGCACCTTCATAGGATATCTGTACTATCGTTTACATATTCCTTTTATAATTTTATCATCGCATTAAATGAGAAAAATGGATTTGTAAAAATTAACTTAAGGTAACATTGAGTAAATTTACAATAAATTATTTTACCAAACTAACCATCAGTTTTTCTTCCACATCTAATATTTTAATACAATTTTCTGACTTCGTTTCCCGACTTATTGTTACATTCTTGTTAATCAAATATGAATTTGTTAATATTCTAGGTAATATTAAATGCAATCTACGTAGTCTCTTAGTTTCACGGGTAACGACTAAATAGACAATGAAAGACCATGCAAAAAATGATATTCCGATCCAGAAAAACGGTGTACGCCAGCCATCATTTTCAGCTAAGTAAGAACCCAGTGAACCACATAAGATTGTTCTGATATGATAACGAAAGACAAGAAAGTAATATTAAAATATTTTCGAAAAAAAATGTCAGCCGATAAACCGATAACAAAAATAAAATACCATTGATTAAAACCATGAAAAAAAGAACATAAAATTGATCTGTCTAATGTTATGTAAGCTATCTGGGCCACCTGTTTCTGCCATCTAATTATTTCAACAAGTTATCTGTTTTTCACTTTGTTTTAACGTCTCATTATTTCTATTAATCGTATGTCGATTCCCGAGCTGCTAAATTCTAACAGCCGATCACTAATTAACAAGGTGGACTATCTTCAGTTCCTACTAAGTCAAAATAAGCATCGTAATTGTGGTGTCATCACAATTCAAGAATCTTGGTTAAATAATTTACAGGAAGATTGCTTAGTATCACTACGTGATTTTAAAATCTATCGTCAGGATCGATCAAACAATAAAAAGAGGTGTAGCGGTAGTGTAGCTACGTTCGTAAACGGAAACTGGTGTTGAACTACTTTTGCGTGTTTCAAGACTTCAAATGACTTTATCGACTGTCTAACTCTAAGATGCCACCCAAAACATCTGAATAAATACAAATATGTTTATGTTACCAAGATCTATGTGACTCCAGACTGCACATCATCTGCGCTATCTGTTTTCGCTGATGAATTCACTGAGTTCGCTGTTACTGCCTTTAGTGACTCACTTTCAGTTGTATGTGGGGATTTCAATTCATGTGACTGTAGCTTCCTTACATCACTAGGTCACCAAAATGTAGTAGATTTTCCTACTCGTTCGGATGCTCATTTAGACTTCGTTTTTATTAATGATGTGGGTATATATATGACTCGTAGACGTGCTCCGTTGTCTAGCTCGGATCACTGTATAATTCGTGTTCTACCTAAAGTATGTGGAAAGCATGGAAAGAGCACAATCTTACATCAAACCAAGAAGGTCGAATAAAGGAATCACTCAGAAGAAAATATTCGAAATCCGAAAAAACATGTTTCGTACGACTAACTGGGAATTATTTACAAATGACTCACTGGAAAACACTACTGATGTCATCACATGTTGCCTTAAATTCTGTTTTGATTTTTGTTGTCTCAATGAAACCATTTTTGTAAGTTTTTATAAACTTAAATCTTCACAATTAAAACGACTACGGAGTGTGAAAGAATGTACAAGGAGAATAATTCTATTGAAGTTCGTAAGCTGAATGGTCTGATAAACCTAGAGATTAGACGTCTCAACGCTATGTTTACTCAAAAACTCTTGTCTTGTAAATACTCTCCAAGTGTGTGCAAACTCTTTAAAGAACTTACAGGTGGTAGGCACATTAGAATCGAAAACCAGCTGAATGTTTGTGGATTAAATAAGTTTTTTGTACGTCAGTCATCTGATGTAATAATCCCTATATCCACAGGTTTAAAGAATAGTTGTGTTCCTTGTTTCACTGAAACTTTTGTCCGAAGATGTCTCTACAGTCACTGAGTTCATCCCAATGTTAAGGACCTGATGGTATCCCAAACCACAAACTTCTGATAAGTGTTATCTTCTCAGATCTCAACTATTCCCTTCATTCATATCTTTCTCCTTGTATATCTGGTAGAACGAGATGTCAATTCATTAAAATCCATGCGCTCAAGCAAAGGTATAAAAGTTCTGCAATACCTTACCTAGCAAATATACTCTGTGACGAATAGGTTGGTAGAGTTTACCTAGTCAATAACCTGTATTCTTAAACATGTCTCTAGTTTGAAAAGTTGTACAGATTTAGGTGTTTTTCCACCTTTTTCTTTTCTTTTTTGTTTTTGTAAAAGAGACTTGCTAAAATACCTCGTGCTGAGAATTCTATATTGTACTAAAATATAGTATTGAATAAAGCCATTAATAATAATAATAATAATAAAGACGAGATGAGAATAACAAGATAAATCGCAAACATGATAGGAACTGTAGTAGCCATGATAGACAAGACAATCAAACCTTGGGAATATGGTTTGAAAAGACGGGGTGGGATAGTGGAATTCATGATTAGGAGGATGATAAAGAGTGAACGCATTTTTGTTATTGTGATCACTTCTGAGCCATGTCATACAAAGTCTCTAACAAATGTTTATGGCTATTTCACGAACGTCAAACAGATAGTCTATATCTACAACCATGGCTCAAACCGACAGTCAATGCATTTCGTGAGTAATGGGATGTTTTAGGTTGATTTCCTGTAGCCTTCTTCCAATCTACTACTACATATACTTTATTATTCTTTCATTATAACCCTTACAAAGTGAACATTGAGTATAAATAATTGTAAAATTTGAAAAATTTACAGAAATATATCCAATAAGCACATTTTTCCTAACACCTACCGACTGCTCATTATTTGTATTAAGAAAATAGACAAGAATCACATTAATAGCAAGTTCATCGCAAACGAGATACATTTTCGAAGAAATTATCATGAATTAATATTAGTTGAGCAAAGATTAACGTAACCAGAGTGCATCGGATGACCATCTCCTTCTAAATTAAGCAATTTAGGCAATGACCTTTCACTACTTAAATTATTTTGGTAGATAAGCCCAACTGTAAGTAGCTGAGGATCGGAGACATATATATTTGACAGCACATTGAAATAATCACTTCATTATATTTAAAAGATTTCATACAAGTTTACATTTATTATCAACAATAAATGATTATTAACAGCTAGTTCTCAACGAAACAGTCTGGCAAAATTACCTGCATCTTATGTAAATAAGTATCTTATGAGCAATTTTGTATCATTATTACGACCAACATAACTATTATGAATGGCTTTATTCAATCTAATATACATAGTACAACAGAGAATTCTCAGAATAGACTATTTTAATAAGTTTCTTCTAACAAAAAAAATCGATAACTAGATACATTCATTTATGAAATAATTAAATAAATTATCTGGAATTAAATCAGACATTTTTTAATAAGATTAGAACCTGTACAACATTTAATTAACAACATATTTAAGAATACAAGTTATTGACTAGGTCAGCCCTAACAATTTATTCGTCACATAGTATATTTACTAGATTAGGTATCCTGGAACATTTATATCTTTGCTTGCGTGCATGGATTCTAATGTATTGATGTCTCGTTCTATCAGAATACATTCAAGGAGAAATATGTGGATGAAAGAAACGTGGAGAAAGATTAAAATAATCCCAATAATTAAGGAAGTATTTAGAGATAAGAATAGAAAATCTAATCCCACAGGAGTAACTTCACTACTAAAAATAATGGAAAAATTATTGGTACTTACACCTCAACCCGCACTAGAGGAGCATATTGATCCACACCAATTTGCTTACTTATTTCATACATAAATTTATCCAGTTATTGATTTATTTTGGTGAAAGAAACTTATGAAGATAGTCTATTCTGCGACTTCTATGTTGTACTATGCATATTAGATTGAATAAATTATTAATAACAATAATAATAATAATAATCATACAGTATATTCCTGCTTTACTTCACCATATAGATTTTGTTAAAAAGATTAATAGGTTACATAACGATTCATCATTTCATCGAATTAAACTCTACTTCAGTTGAGTAGACTACTGTCAGTACCAGAAAGAAATTTCAACAGTGTTGCTGAACCGGATGAAAGATTCATTAGACATCCAACGTCGAGATCAACAGGTCGGATTCCGTAAGCATCGGTCGTGCACAGACCAAATAGTGACGCTATCGATCGCCGAACAATCAGTTGAGTGAAACTCGTCACTATACATCAACGTCATTAACTATGAGGAGTTTGACAGTGGGGATAAGAGGACCTTATGGAACCTTCTTCGAAAGTATGGTGTGCCTGAGACGATCGTCAACATCCAGCGAAATGCATACGACGGACTACAGTGCAAAGAGGTGCATAGATGACAGCCAATAAATGCATTCCAAGTAAGGACTGGAGTTAATCAAAGCTGTTTACTCTCCCCCTTTCTCTTTCTTCTGGTGGTTGACTGGATTATGAGGACCTCAATATCTGACAGGAAGCACGGAATAAAATGCATAGGTTGGATGCAATTAAACATTTTGGACTTCTCAGATGACCTAGACCTATCTCATACATAACAACAAATGCAGGTCAAGACAAACAGTTTAGCGGCAGCCTCTGTAGCACTAGGCCTCAACGCACATAAAGGAAAAAGCAAGATCTTCAAATACAACGCGGAGAACACCAACCCGATCGCACTTGATGGAGAAACTCTGGGAGATGTGGAGTCTTTCTCGTAACTGGGAAGCATCGTCGATGTACAAGAAGGATCTGATGCAGACGTAAATGCAAGGATTGGCAAAACAAAGACAGCATTCCTACAATTGAAGAACATATAGGACGCAAAAAAACTAAATACATATCCAAATGAGAATCTTCAATACGAACGTCAAGACAGTTCTACTGTACGGAGCTGAAACTTGGAGAACTACAACCATGATCAAAAAGATACAAGTATTTATAAACAGTTATCTACACAAGATACTGAATATCTGTTGGCGAGAAGCCAACAGCAACCGTCTGCTATGGGAGAGAACAAACCAACTTCCATCTGATGAGGAAATTAAGAAAACACTTTGGAAGTGGATAGGACATATATTACAGAAATCACTAAATTGCATCACGATTCAAGTGCTTACCTAGTATCCTAAAAGGATACGGAAATGAGGAAGGCAGTAGAACACACTACGTTGGGAATTGGAAGCAGACATGAAAAGGATGAATAGGAACTGGAAAGGATTGTCTAGGACAGTTGGATGGAAAATGCTAGTGGGCGGCCTATGCTCCTTCATGGGGGGAGGGGTAACAGGCGTAATAAAGTAAACACAGTTGAGTGAATTTATGTTATGTTCCAGAAGTCTATAGTTCATAGTGATTTGAAATAAAACACGTTTTTAAACGATTTTAAAGGCTATTACACTACAAATTGCGAAACTGAGATTCATAAGTGTTAATGAATACATACCCCAAATGTGTACCAGCAGTTATTACAGCAAAAGTGATATTTCGATTGGAAACTTGAACACGATTGGCCATTAAACTTGCTAAACTCGGATAGTAAAATCCTGAAAGTTTGGTAACCAGATAAACATAAAGATAGTTCGTTAATTTTGTAGAATTGTTATCAAATGGCGTGTAAGAATAAGAAAAAAAGCAACTTAAATGATGCCAAACATCTGTTTCGACATACAAGATATAATTAAGTATCCTAACTGATAAATATCATGCTATTTAACTTTCATAATTGTTATCATTTTATCACATTCACATTAAAGCTTGCCTTATTTTTACAAGACCCACTTCAAATTTATGAGTGCCTACATTCCGTGAAATCACTACTAAAGGTGATGGTAAATAAAACCTAGATGGTAACCGTTTTTCAATAGTTTTGAAAACCAAAGTAAGCACATTACCTTCACTGATTAAACTGTCTTAGATTACATTTTACTTAATAGCAGTAGTATAAAGAGATAAATCAGAGTAGATCCTTTTTACTGCTTACTAACATATACTTTGACTAATTAATTTTATTTTGATGGATATCTTTAACCGATAATATTGTCCTTCATCAACTTTATTGAGGACCAAGTGGTTAACAAAGAATATATATGAAAGCTGCGACGGAATGAGTCAAACATTCTCCGATTCGGCCTATCGTAACAATATATCAAAACGAAAGGTCATGTAAGAAGAAAAGAACGTATACAAGTTGCTAAGTTAAAACATCGTTCAAATCTCTTTCCGTTGATTCAAGAAAAGTAAATAAATGACATAACAGTCGACATTAACGAAACAGAACAATTTATCTGTTACGTCCTTGATCCGTCTACCCACTACTATGCAGAAGATAACTTGTCTAAATCTAGATTAAGACATTGACGCGATAGGCTGACTGATTTAACCTTGAAGCTAGCATGCATGAGTTCGAAGTGAGACTAACTGCTTACGGTAGAGACTAAAACTATCCTGTCACCTGATTGGCTGACAAGCATGCGAGAGAGAGAAGACAAGTCAACTCGAACAATTCCGATCTGGTTCCCGATTCAGATTAGTGTAAAAAATACATGAACAAATAGATGAGTGACCAGACCACAACGCAGAAACAATTAGGAAAAATACAATTACTTTCCAAAACTGGAGATCAAGGTAGCAAATAGAGTACATAAGATTACATTTAAATTATAATAGCTTTGGAACCGAAAAGGTTATGGCAGTGAATGATACATCAAAGGAAAGCTTATGGTCTGCAGAATAAACTAGGAACAAAAATAAGTATTAGTGCTAAATGAAATAACGTCCCCAAAAATAGCTTCCGCAGTTTGTCAAAGCTTCTTATTTCTTTCTTTACACCACAACCGAATTATATAATACATCCAATAAGAAAATCAAACTATACATAGTTGGTCACACGAAAAAATTAATTGTCCCACTATATAAGACACAGGAAGTTAGCGATTACCATAGCAATATGGGTGGAGTACAATTATTCAAATATAACCATAGTAGCATGTCATTAATGTACGATTATAACATAACATAAAATTTGAATAATGTCACTAAGGGAAAAGTAACCATGGCCCCAGAACTGGGACAATTCCTACTTTGAAACAGTCAGCTCTTTGAAATCAATAAAAGCAGAGTTGACTTGACTGAGAAAGTATAACTATTAAGCGATTTCTTTACCCATAGACTAAATTCGATTCAAATCACAAAATATTACGATTATGTATAGGTATTTCTAGTGCAGTATATTTTATTCGATATTACCACATGAAATCTTCATTTTACAATGTATCAAGATAAAACTTGGTAGACAACAATTACATGACTTTATCACGCACTTTAGAAATGCAGGGTAAACAAGTTATAAAAAAGCAGTCAGTCATATTCAGGACTGATACGTTGGTGCCCTAAGCTACACTATTCCAACTCAAACTTCAATACGGTGGTGAATGGTGAAAGAGACCACTTTGATTCTCGATTAACTACAGTAAGAACTCCAGTTGACTTATGCAAGTTTACTGATCAAGACCCATTAGAATTCAAAAAACATTTACGATAATCTGTTATATGCCAATTACAATGATTTCCAACAATGAAATAACACCCATCCAGTAGTTGTGTTACGCAATAATTATATAATACCACCTTAATTATGAAATAATATTAAGTCATTGGAAGAAAGAGGATTGTAACAATCAAGGTAATTATTCGGAAAATCAAACAGTTATCATATTGCATGATATACAAAAAGAACTAACAAAATATTTCAATAAAAGTTCAATAATATAGTAGTTAAGTAAGAATCAAGAGATGAATGTTGGTAATATGTAAAAAATACAAAAGTATAAGAAATTAGAACATTGTTCAAATATTTTTGAAGAAAAAGGTTTAAGTAGAGTTCAGCTAAACATTAAACCGATGGCCAAGGTAGCGTGAGTGGATGTAAACACTTCCATCGGATCCAAGTCATGTTTGTGAACACGGATTCCAACGGCTTCAGCAATACGCAACAGACGAACTCGTAAATCATGTGCTAAACTTGATGTACTATGGTAGATAACCTTAAAAGCTTTATTCAGTCTAACTTGATGACTTGTGTCCACCAAGTAAGTGAGAATAGAACACTTAATCATTTTTATCTGTCCTTTGCTCAACCAAGACGGATGGTGTTCTGTTATACGATGACGGACTTGGCGAATTGTAAGCTCTATATAACTCTATAAAACTGGTGAACACACATGGATGTAGAGAATTCAGGGAACCTGACTAGATTAAATGTTTTCTGGACCACCTTTCTTAGTCCTTGAGTTACAATTTCTTCGGTAGCATCATTTAAAAATTGTAATCTTAAGAACAGTACTTTCTTCAGGATGGTAGATACATTTGGTCTTTTTTCATCTCATTCATGTTTGTTGATAAATTTCATTGGATATCCATTCTTACTAAGCAGGTTACGAGTATTATTCACTTCATCAGAGCGAATTCCTCTAGCACGATGAGTTACGATCTTTACCAAGCTTCTCTTATATCTGATTGGTACAGTACTATAGAAATGAGTGTATTGTCCAAATTCGAACTTTATATGTATCCTATTCTCAGTGTTCCATCTACTTTTCTTGTCAGTTAGACATTTACAAACGAACAAGAAGAGAAGATAGAATACTAAAAAAGGAGACATAAAATTTATGCAGTTGGACAATATACTCGAAGACTTTATGCACTGTTAAGATATTTTATTCTGACCGTCCCAGCTTTGTCCCAACCTAATTTTACCCGAGATAATATCACGCGTACATATATGGGGTAATTAGACATACGTTACATCCGAAAAGGATATGATAATAATAAATAGTGATGGAAATAGGGCCCCCAAATGCCCTGGCATGACCGAGAGTGGGGAGGGTTCGCCCTCCCTCTCGAAATACTCTCACACGGCCACGCGTATACAGCCTCTGCCAGGGAAGTCCTACTCACTGCATTCTCGTGGCTTTACTGTTGTTTACGAAAATGAGAGGACGAAAAGCGAATGTCTGGCGCTATAGCCGGATCCCAAATCAATGGTGCACATGGGCTCCAGTATCCTGAGGGGACAAATGGCGTGTGAACCAATTTTTGGTCACCGGCTACCATGGGACTGCATCTCCTTACGATGCTCCACTGCCTTGTGGACTAGACCTTTAGGTCAAAGGCTTGGGGCGTGGCCCTTCTAAGAAAACCACCTGCTTCGGTTTGGGCACCCGGGCAGTATCACAGCTCTCACACTAAAACATGATGAACTATTTACTTATGGAAAATATTCTTTTCGCTCCGACTTATAATGAAATGACACGCACTATTATTATTATTATTATTATTATTATTATTATTATTATTATTTTACCACGTCATTTATTCACTCTCTCTTATTCCTACTTTATGTATCCGTTTCGACTTAGACAGCAGCTTGCCTATGGTGGACATTCAGCTCTATCTAAACTTTCTCGAGTCATTGCCTGGTTGAAAATTGTATGTTACCACCGAATAAGAGTACTGAAGCAGTCTTTCTGAAACCACGTACACCATTCAAACTGTATGTCTTCAACGTTCGCACATTTATGCAAGTCGGACAATAGATAGGGCTGGCTATGTCTTTGGAAAGTCTTAATATTGATGTGTGTTGTCTATCCGAGACCCGTATTCAAGACTCTGGTGAAGTACTACAAGTTCGCTCTCCATCTGTCGCTTCAAAAAGCTTGTTTTATGTGCGTTTATCCGGGGACCCCGTGGCATCTTCGTCTGGTCTTGCTGGCGTTGGTGTCGCACTAAGCGCTAAAGCTGAGGCAGCACTAATTGACTGGATCCCCATTAACGGTCGGTTATGTGCTGTTAGATTAGAAAGTTCCATCAAAGTGAGAAGAAATAGGCGTGAGAAACGATGTCTTTTCGTCATCTCCGCCTATGCCCCGACAGATTGCAGCCCGGATGCAATCAAGGATGAGCATTGGTTGCAATTGCATGACGCCATGAAAATGGCGGGTACAGTTTGTTGTGGGTTCGCGAAACGTCCCGCTTACAAGCACTGGGTTTCTTCTGGTTCCTTACAACTCATGGAAGCCCGTCGGTCTACTCCGGGTGACCGTGAGTTTGACCACAGACGAAGGATGTTACGTAATGAAATCGGGCAAAGCTTGCGTAAGGACCGTGAAGCCTGGTGGTCGGAGCGTGCTAATGAGCTGGAAGCAGCAGCTGCATCTGGTAATTACCGGAAGCTCCTCCAACTCATCCGAGCCACTGGCAGCAAGAAGTCTGGTGTGAGCGAAACAATCTGCGAGGATGAAGGAACGCCAATCACTAACATTCATCGACGTCTTGGACGACGGACAGAATTTTTCGAAGGGCAGTTCAACTGGCCTGTTGCTCCGGCAACATCGGTCAGACTGTCCTGCCCTCCATGGCCGGTGACGACTGCTCCACCAAATGAGGCGGAAGTCCGCAAGGAACTCCAACTCTTAAAACGTTACAAATCACCAGGCCCAGATGACTTACCTCCGACTCTTTTTAAAGATGGTGGTGACTTTCTGACTAAGGGACTGACGACGTTGTTTACAAAGGTCTGGGAACTAGAGTGTGAACCAACGTCATGGAATGAGTCGATAGTTGTCCCTATCTTTAAAAAGGGTTCACGTCGTTCCTGTAACAACTATCGGGGGATAAGTCTACTTCCAAATGCGTCCAAGCTATTGGCTTCCGTCATACTTCGTAGGTTTTTCAGAACCCGAGAAAGATTGACTCGCGAGGAGCAAGCTGCTTTTTCGTTCCGGTCGAGGATGTATTGATCATATCTTCACCCTCCGCCAAGTGTTAGAACACCGTCATGCTTATCAAAGGCCAACAATCGTAGTGTTTCTTGATATCAGGGCTGCCTTCGATTCGTTGGACAGAACTGTTCTCTGGGATTGTCTATTGAAGAAGGGTGTGTCTGAGAAGTTTATTAACATCCTAAAAGCCCTATATACAAACACCTCAGGCAGAGTAAGGGCATACAACCACCTTTCTCCAATATTCCATTCAGGCAGTGGAGTTAGGCAGGGTTGCCCAATCTCACCATTCCTCTTCAACTTTGCCATCGATGACATTCTGGAAACAGCTTTAATAGATGTAAGTAGTGGCGGTGTGGATCTGTTGCCTGGAGAAAGACTTCTCGACCTTGAGTATGCGGATGATATTGTGCGAGAATGCTGAAGCCATGCAATCCGCACTTAATCAGTTGGCAATCAATGTCCGTAGGTATGGTATGTGCTTTGCACCTTCGAAGTGCAAAGTACTTCTACAAGACTGGCAGGATTCTAATCCTGTACTCACTCTGGATGGTGAGCAGATTGAAGTAGTCGAGAAGTTCGTGTATCTAGGTAGCTGCATAAGTGCTGGTGGTGGCGTGAGTGATGAGATCAATGCACGTATAGTGAAAGCCAGAGCGGCTTATGCAAATCTGGGCCACCTTTGGCGCCTTCGTGATGTTAGTCTGGCTGTAAAAGGTCGGATCTACAACGCGACGGTGAGAGCAGTTCTGCTCTATGCTTGTGAAACCTGGCCTCTCCGAGTTGCGGATGTTAGACGACTCTCTGTGTCCGAAGGATTGCTGGCATCCAGTGGCAACACCATGTCAGTAATGCAGAGGTTCGGCATCGTGTGTTCTGACACAGAGACGATAATGAAATTGGTGTCACCATCTTGAAACACCGGCTTCGGTGGCTTGGATATGTTCTACGAATGTCGTCCCAGAAAATTCCTCGTCGTGAATTATTTGCCGACTCTGGGACTGGTTGGAAAAAGCGGAGAGGTGGTCAGTATATGACATGGTGTCGTGGTATGAAAGAAAGCTGCGAAGGGTTAGCTTCTGTTGGTCCTTCACGACTCCCCGGTTGGGGTCCGAGAGACGATGTAACACAGTGGTTAGAGACGTTATCAGATATGGCTCAGAATAGAAGCCAGTGGCGATCTTGCTGTAACCTTCTTTTACTTTCTTCATAAAAAGTGGTTGTATCTTCCTTAACTGAAGGATTTCTTCTGATTGTACCTTTCCGTTTTCCCCATCATTGTTCTCTCTCTTTTTTTTTAATTCCCCACGTTCATTACTTTCTTTTTCTCCTTCTCTTCAAATTATCATTGTTTTGTGTGGCGCATATATATTTGGTGCCCCCTTGTACCAATATTTATGTGTTCAAATAAATAAATAAAAAAAGATGGAAATAGGATAACAGTATATGGAGCATTCAGACAAAACGTAGTGAATTGTACCGGGTGGAAAGATTATTAGGCTGTATTACTTAAAATTTTAAACTATTATTTACTCATATCAATCGCATTTCTATGAACTAAACCAGTTATGCATAACACTATTTTGTTTAACAGACACTGAGCCGATAAACTGACTTCTGAAATAATTCTGTTCGAACTATTAGAGGTTCATCCAAATCAGACACTAATTTGACTAAAAATGAGTAAACAGGGATAGAAAAACGATGGCATAGCTGCACGGTGACGCAAGCTATTACACAATACATCATTATAAGATGGGAAAATCAAGAAGCGAAGAACCAAAGATAAATATTTAGTAAGTAGTAATAAAGTAGGGCGAAAAGGTAAAGTAGATGGGTAAGTATAATGTATGGAAAATATAAAACAATAAGATCTTCTAGTTGTAAGTTATATTTGCATGATTGAGTTTTTTCTAGAACCTTCAGTCAGAAGGCTGAAATCGTGCTAAATGATATGAATTATCGACTAAAGACCTAAGGGTTTGGTTGTATGTATTTATTTGATCACCCTGGTACTTTTTACATAGTATTCCCTACAGCACAAGACGTTGAAGTTGGTAATGACTAGACCCACACAATATGAACATTTCCCAAAACCCATTAATGTGGAATCGGATACAAAAAATATCCACAGATCACATCCAACAGGTGACAATAGTGTAAATGATCTGTTCTGCTTGGTAAATAGGAAAATATCAATATTATATTAGTACATAATTTATGGAATATCTGCATAACGGTATGACAAATTTATTGGAAATGCATCATTTAAATATGAATCATTATATACAACAGGCAATGTATATTGAAAGTAAGCAAATGAACGTCTAACATTAAAAAGGTATAAGCTCTAAAAAAGCAGAACAATCGGATAGAATACTGTGTAAGATGGGCTAACTTAAACATTTGTGTTCTAAAACTTCTACTCCAAAACAAGCAATACCAGGGACGCACGGTAAAACAAGAGATACATTAAGCTTACCTTGAAATATCCCTAGTAAAAAGCGAGTAATTATGAAAAGCCCATATATATCATTTGAGCCCAGGTCGATGCTTGGGAGCCATATAAAGCAAACGGTTAGTATAGACCAACCAAGAGAACTGATTGCAATTACAATTTCTCCACCAAACACATCACTTAGATAACCCCCCAGGTACTGTGTAAAAGCGTAGCCCCAAAAGAAGATGCCCATCATGAAACCCTGTAGAAAAAGTGGTATCACATAAAAGAAGTTGCTTTAGATCATTATCTGGTAACCCTCTTGTAAGACACTAAGGCATTAAATTCATAATAGTGAGAATATTTTATAAACACTGATGTATTTGTCTTAATTATGAATTACATTTTCTTTATTTATTAAACATTTTTAGTAAAATATCTGAAACATATCAAATACAGTAAAATGAAAACTACTCAACTAAGACAGAAATTTCTACAGACATGAGTCGCTGATTGAGATCAGAATTAATGAGCATTTCTTCCCCTTAGATTATTGAAGTTTGCATACACAAATAATCTAGAATCAGAGTTGTCCAACTCCGATGAATGCAACTTACACATTCACAGACCCATGTTAAGTGTCAGAGGGCCGTCTTCGTCAATTTTTATGACAACCGCGCCGCATGAATGAAGAGGAGCAATTTTCTTACAGAGTTCGCAAGAGCTTTACCATTAAAGAGTATCTTGAAAGATAGACCAGACCCCTATCATATTATGACGTATTACCGCTTTAAAGGGTTTAGCATAACCTATCAATCAAGCAATAAGTGTGTTTCCCGTTTTTAGCCATACGCACTTTGTGAAGGCGAATGTAGCTAATCAACTGACCAAGCCCTGAGATAAACTACGACCGAAAATCAAAAATGGATGATTCACATTCAAGTACTTTAACCAATAAAGCGATGGTCCAGTAAAGAGAATAAGTTTGCCGGTTTCCAGCATTAAATTGGAGAAGCTTGTCAGCTGAAAGCAATACCCCATACGGTACATTTGGCAGAAGTAAGGAATTCACTATTCGGTTGAACCATCATATTTGCAGATCAATTTTTCTACATTTTAGATGATAAAACTACAAGTAATCCAAATGTTTAAAAGTAACTATCTCACCAAGTTTTTTTTGGGTTATCCAAACTAAATAAAACCACTTCAAAACAACCGAAACGTCTTTTTTTATTTGTAAAAAGGTTAAACGGTCAAATCCACCAGCAATTCATCAATTTGATTGCAAGATAATTGAAACCTTACAAACATATATAAAGAACTGCTGGTTTCATTGAAACTTCCTTCAGACTTACCATTTCCTTACGATTCCAATTCAATTCCGAGGCAATAGCAACGGAAGCAATCGGCATTACTGCCCTAGAAGCATAGAGGCCAACTGCACCAATAAAAAGAAGGCACATCCATTTATGTCTTTCGGCTCTGGTAAGAGAAAGAAAGTAGGATAGTTAATAGGAAACATTTTGGAGTTTTTCTGAATACAAAATATTCAGGTTCCCACAAACTAAGAACTATATTTAGCAATGATCAAACAGTAGAAATAGTTTAACATTTGGGTTGACTTTATAGTGACTTAAATAAAATAATAATAATGACTATTACCATACCTAATGAAGGTGAAATTTTAAAAGTAGATCGAAAAATTATCAATATGTTCAGAACTAATTAAAGGTGATAAAGACCATTATTTCTTCAAAGAAAAAAAAACGACAACACTGTTCAGACACAGCCAGGTGATAGTCAGTCATAATTAATATAGAGCACGACAAAAATGTGTAATGGGCCAAATTGTCCATACAATACAAAGCAAACGTGAAATTTTTTAATGACATGAACGGATATTAGAAAGCATTCTTCTTCTAACTGTGTTGTTTACTTTTCTATAGGATTTTATATTATTAGCCAAATACATTAAAACCGACTGAAAACAGATTTGAGTCGATGTAACGTAAAGAATAGTACCTTTCACTTCTTGAAGATATTTAAAACTAGTCCCGATGCATTGATTTCATGACAAAAATATGACTGCTGGAGGATACATCCGAAGTACAAGTATTATCTTCGTAGTGACTAATTTTAGAAAAAATTTATTTAATTACGCTACCATTCAGAGAATATGGGTGCAAGAAATTTAGTGCACCACAAGTATGGGTGACTGGGTCAAAAAATATATATAATATCCTTCATAATATTGCTGTTATAAAACTTTTCAACGACTTGTCTGAAATGTTTGTGAAATAAAAACTTCTAGAAAAAAAGTGACTGTTTCATGTAACAATGAAGTTTTTCTCTATACAATGTAAATTTGGTTAACATATGCTGTCAGTTTAAAATTGATGTATGTTGTGACACTTAAAGTACCAATTTTTTAGTCAAATTAAACATATATCCTGCAAATCTGATTATAAACCAGTGTCGTAGTAGATGTGTGACTGTGATGTTACAAAACATTTATGTGATTCACCAAACTTAAGTATTCAGTTCTTAATCCAATGACTCGATAACAGGCAACTATATGACACAGAAAATTAGTCGAGGTACTTTTGGTGTCGAAAGTCAACTGAAATTCCTTACATTTTTATAAGATTAATGTGTATTCTTATGAGGATGGTGGCACTAAATTGGATCTTGGTATTCGATTGGATAAAACTAATTTGCTCTTAGTGCAATAGTTTACATTGGGAATTGATCTTCATTAGATAACCACTGAAGACCAGAAAGCACTGAACATCTGTTTTGATCTAGTATGGAATCTTCAGCGGTGTCTGTTCACCACTTTACCAAGTAAAGAACCCAGGACGCACGCATTTTGTAGTGAACTTTTAACATTTAAACAACTGAGCTGGCGTGGAATTATTTGCTACTTTAAATCCAACCAATTTGTGATATTGAGCAACCAACTTTTAGTGACATTGGCGACCCATAAATGTCCTGGTACGGCCGAGGTCGAGGAGTGTTAGCTCTCAATCTCGAATTGTCTCACATGACCGCAGGTAAACAGCCACTACCAGGGAATTCCTAGTCACTGACTTCTCATGACAAGGGTGTTGCTTACGAAATTGAGATGGCGAAAAGCGAATGTTCGGCGCTTTAACGGGTTGATAGACCCTATGTGTCCGCCTAGGGGAGTTGGAAAACCCTGATTCCATACCAATGGTGCACATAAGCTCCACAACCCTGAAGGAACAAATGGCATGTGAACCCTATTGTTGGTCACCGATTACCATGGGACTGCATCTCCTGACGTTGCTCTATTGCCTTGTGGATCAGACCTGTAAGTCGAAGGCTCTGGGTGTGCCACCCTAAGAAAACCACCTGTTTTGGTCTGGGCATCCGGACAGTATCACAGCCTACACACAAATCAAGTGACATGTGTGGCTAATATTTATTCGATGTCCCTTTGAACTAATATTTATGTGTTCAAATAATAAATAAAATAAAATAAATAAATAATAAACCCCCACATGAGCATGCGAACTGATGGATGATATCAACCACACAGAGCAGACTTTAGCAGGGAGCATTTCTGAACATTATCCTGCCTAGCTACAGTCAGTAAAAGCTGAACTAGTTCATTCTGACCAACTAGATCTACTAGAGACCTCCTTCAAAATCATTCATTCAGGAAGAACCAGTTTAAAAAGAAAACAGACAGAAAAATAATGTACAACAGAGGCTGTAGCTGTTTATCAATCCAAACCTAAGCTCAGTGTACAAAATCATTATGTCCAACCCCTCAATCTACAACGGTTTTAACCTTTCTTTTTATATTACGAAATCTACCATTTTTTCTGATCTTTTTCAAAGAATTTAACAACTATTAATTAGTGATTATTGCAACTTCTAAATATTTTGTTTATACTACTTATCTGGTGGATAATTACTTCTATCTAAAACTTATCATCGTTTACTGGATTATTATGCAACGTTTCTCAATACCTGATTTTTGCAAACAAATTGTAATAAAACACCATCCTAATTTTCCCCCGTTGAGTAATTTTCATTTTTTTTTAAAAAAACTTGATTTTCTAGAGTAGGCTTGCAGACACGATACAACATTAAAGATTAAATAAGTGGCATTATAATAAGCTGGGCCCAAGAAAGTTCACAGGTGATGAAAGATATGTGAATTGCTTATAAACATGTAGTTAGTATGAAAAATCACCTTCAAGTACACAATAGTCTATGCCATTGTATATACGAAAGTAACTAGAAATCAAGAGTAAATTTTAAGGCCAGAAAAAAAAGAACCCGCACTGCCAACTTACCGGCTCCACATGATGGCCGTCTGATTCTGAAAAATACACTACAAATATCGACAAATATTTACGAGAAGATTGTAGAACGAATTAAGTCGATTCAGTCTTCACTAATCAGGATAGTAGGTCGGTAGACCTGTGTTAACCCTTGCAGCTTGTATTTTAGTGAAGGTTCAGCTCCTCCTTGAAAACGTTCGCTGATGGTGCTTATACCACTTGTTCGAGTAAGGCGTCCCAGTCATTGACTACTCGATGACAAAAACGGAACCCCACTCTGAGTTTCTGAGATCGCGGTTTTTGGACCTTCTTGCTATGGCCTTGGAGATGATTAGCTCTGGAAGGAGAAAAAGGATAAGACTTACAAACATCCAAGACATTAAAAAAGATATGGAATACCAATAACATGTCACATCGTGTTTGAAGATACGATAAGGCGACAAAGTTTAGGCGTGTTAAGTGCTCATCGTAAAAGGAATCTGGAAAGATCCTTCGCTAACGTTTTTTCCACACGCCGAGCACGCTCGATCGTGTCAGTTTCCTCAATAAGACATGGATTGGCTACTTGGACACAGTACACAAAATGTGGTCTTACATATGTAGCATATAAAATCCGACATATCTCCTCGTCAAAGCATTTGAATGCTCGGTGAGGTGACCATAACACTCGAAAGAAGGACACCTCATCAAGATACAAAAGAAAGTTGATCTCAGCAAGTGTGAGAACTACAGAGGCATCACTCTTATCTTAATACGAGGAAAAGTCTTCAATAGGGTATTGTTTGTTATGCCCCGATTAGATTATTGATTTATTTATATATTTGAACACATAAATATTGGTACAAGGGGGCACCAAATATATATGCGCCACACAAAACAATGATAATTTGAAGAGAAGGAGAAAAAGAAAGTAATGAACGTGGGGAATTAAAAAAAAAGAGAGAGAACAATGATGGGGAAAACGGGAAGGTACAATCAGAAGAAATCCTTCAGTTAAGGAAGATACAACCACTTTTTATGAAGAAAGTAAAAGAAGGTTACAGCAAGATCGCCACTGGCTTCTATTCTGAGCCATATCTGATAACGTCTCTAACCACTGTGTTACATCGTCTCTCGGACCCCAACCGGGGAGTCATGAAGGACCAACAGAAGCTAGCCCTTTGCAGCTTTCTTTCATACCACGACACCATGTCATATACTGACCACCTCTCCGCTTTTTCCAACCAGTCCCAGAGTCGGCAAATAATTCACGACGAGGAATTTTCTGGGACGACATTCGTAGAACATATCCAAGCCACCGAAGCCGGTGTTTCAAGATGGTGACACCAATTTCATTATCGTCTCTGTGTCAGAACACACGATGCCGAACCTCTGCATTACTGACATGGTGTTGCCACTGGATGCCAGCAATCCTTCGGACACAGAGAGTCGTCTAACATCCGCAACTCGGAGAGGCCAGGTTTCACAAGCATAGAGCAGAACTGCTCTCACCGTCGCGTTGTAGATCCGACCTTTTACAGCCAGACTAACATCACGAAGGCGCCAAAGGTGGCCCAGATTTGCATAAGCCGCTCTGGCTTTCACTATACGTGCATTGATCTCATCACTCACGCCACCACCAGCACTTATGCAGCTACCTAGATACACGAACTTCTCGACTACTTCAATCTGCTCACCATCCAGAGTGAGTACAGGATTAGAATCCTGCCAGTCTTGTAGAAGTACTTTGCACTTCGAAGGTGCAAAGCACATACCATACCTACGGACATTGATTGCCAACTGATTAAGTGCGGATTGCATGGCTTCAGCATTCTCGCACAATATCATCCGCATACTCAAGGTCGAGAAGTCTTTCTCCAGGCAACAGATCCACACCGCCACTACTTACATCTATTAAAGCTGTTTCCAGAATGTCATCGATGGCAAAGTTGAAGAGGAATGGTGAGATTGGGCAACCCTGCCTAACTCCACTGCCTGAATGGAATATTGGAGAAAGGTGGTTGTATGCCCTTACTCTGCCTGAGGTGTTTGTATATAGGGCTTTTAGGATGTTAATAAACTTCTCAGACACACCCTTCTTCAATAGACAATCCCAGAGAACAGTTCTGTCCAACGAATCGAAGGCAGCCCTGATATCAAGAAACACTACGATTGTTGGCCTTTGATAAGCATGACGGTGTTCTAACACTTGGCGGAGGGTAAAGATATGATCAATACATCCTCGACCGGAACGAAAAAGCAGCTTGCTCCTCGCGAGTCAATCTTTCTCGGGTTCTGAAAAACCTACGAAGTATGACGGAAGCCAATAGCTTGGACGCATTTGGAAGTAGACTTATCCCCCGATAGTTGTTACAGGAACGACGTGAACCCTTTTTAAAGATAGGGACAACTATCGACTCATTCCATGACGTTGGTTCACACTCTAGTTCCCAGACCTTTGTAAACAACGTCGTCAGTCCCTTAGTCAGAAAGTCACCACCATCTTTAAAAAGAGTCGGAGGTAAGTCATCTGGGCCTGGTGATTTGTAACGTTTTAAGAGTTGGAGTTCCTTGCGGACTTCCGCCTCATTTGGTGGAGCAGTCGTCACCGGCCATGGAGGGCAGGACAGTCTGACCGATGTTGCCGGAGCAACAGGCCAGTTGAACTGCCCTTCGAAAAATTCTGTCCGTCGTCCAAGACGTCGATGAATGTTAGTGATTGGCGTTCCTTCATCCTCGCAGATTGTTTCGCTCACACCAGACTTCTTGCTGCCAGTGGCTCGGATGAGTTGGAGGAGCTTCCGGTAATTACCAGATGCAGCTGCTGCTTCCAGCTCATTAGCACGCTCCGACCACCAGGCTTCACGGTCCTTACGCAAGCTTTGCCCGATTTCATTACGTAACATCCTTCGTCTGTGGTCAAACTCACGGTCACCCGGAGTAGACCGACGGGCTTCCATGAGTTGTAAGGAACCAGAAGAAACCCAGTGCTTGTAAGCGGGACGTTTCGCGAACCCACAACAAACTGTACCCGCCATTTTCATGGCGTCATGCAATTGCAACCAATGCTCATCCTTGATTGCATCCGGGCTGCAATCTGTCGGGGCATAGGCGGAGATGACGAAAAGACATCGTTTCTCACGCCTATTTCTTCTCACTTTGATGGAACTTTCTAATCTAACAGCACATAACCGACCGTTAATGGGGATCCAGTCAATTAGTGCTGCCTCAGCTTTAGCGCTTAGTGCGACACCAACGCCAGCAAGACCAGACGAAGATGCCACGGGGTCCCCGGATAAACGCACATAAAACAAGCTTTTTGAAGCGACAGATGGAGAGCGAACTTGTAGTACTTCACCAGAGTCTTGAATACGGGTCTCGGATAGACAACACACATCAATATTAAGACTTTCCAAAGACATAGCCAGCCCTATCTATTGTCCGACTTGCATAAATGTGCGAACGTTGAAGACATACAGTTTGAATGGTGTACGTGGTTTCAGAAAGACTGCTTCAGTACTCTTATTCGGTGGTAACATACAATTTTCAACCAGGCAATGACTCGAGAAAGTTTAGATAGAGCTGAATGTCCACCATAGGCAAGCTGCTGTCTAAGTCGAAACGGATACATAAAGTAGGAATAAGAGAGAGTGAATAAATGACGTGGTAAAATAATAATAATAATAATAATAATAATAATAATAATAATAATAATAATAGTGCGTGTCATTTCATTATAAGTCGGAGCGAAAAGAATATTTTCCATAAGTAAATAGTTCATCATGTTTTAGTGTGAGAGCTGTGATACTGCCCGGGTGCCCAAACCGAAGCAGGTGGTTTTCTTAGAAGGGCCACGCCCCAAGCCTTTGACCTAAAGGTCTAGTCCACAAGGCAGTGGAGCATCGTAAGGAGATGCAGTCCCATGGTAGCCGGTGACCAAAAATTGGTTCACACGCCATTTGTCCCCTCAGGATACTGGAGCCCATGTGCACCATTGATTTGGGATCCGGCTATAGCGCCAGACATTCGCTTTTCGTCCTCTCATTTTCGTAAACAACAGTAAAGCCACGAGAATGCAGTGAGTAGGACTTCCCTGGCAGAGGCTGTATACGCGTGGCCGTGTGAGAGTATTTCGAGAGGGAGGGCGAACCCTCCCCACTCTCGGTCATGCCAGGGCATTTGGGGGCCCTATTTCCATCACTATTTATTATTATCATATCCTTTTCGGATGTAACGTATGTCTAATTACCCCATATATGTACGCGTGATATTATCTCGGGTAAAATTAGGTTGGGACAAAGCTGGGACGGTCAGAATAAAATATCTTAACAGTGCATAAAGTCTTCGAGTATATTGTCCAACTGCATAAATTTTATGTCTCCTTTTTTAGTATTCTATCTTCTCTTCTTGTTCGTTTGTAAATGTCTAACTGACAAGAAAAGTAGATGGAACACTGAGAATAGGATACATATAAAGTTCGAATTTGGACAATACACTCATTTCTATAGTACTGTACCAATCAGATATAAGAGAAGCTTGGTAAAGATCGTAACTCATCGTGCTAGAGGAATTCGCTCTGATGAAGTGAATAATACTCGTAACCTGCTTAGTAAGAATGGATATCCAATGAAATTTATCAACAAACATGAATGAGATGAAAAAAGACCAAATGTATCTACCATCCTGAAGAAAGTACTGTTCTTAAGATTACAATTTTTAAATGATGCTACCGAAGAAATTGTAACTCAAGGACTAAGAAAGGTGGTCCAGAAAACATTTAATCTAGTCAGGTTCCCTGAATTCTCTACATCCATGTGTGTTCACCAGTTTTATAGAGTTATATAGAGCTTACAATTCGCCAAGTCCGTCATCGTATAACAGAACACCATCCGTCTTGGTTGAGCAAAGGACAGATAAAAATGATTAAGTGTTCTATTCTCACTTACTTGGTGGACACAAGTCATCAAGTTAGACTGAATAAAGCTTTTAAGGTTATCTACCATAGTACATCAAGTTTAGCACATGATTTACGAGTTCGTCTGTTGCGTATTGCTGAAGCCGTTGGAATCCGTGTTCACAAACATGACTTGGATCCGATGGAAGTGTTTACATCCACTCACGCTACCTTGGCCATCGGTTTAATGTTTAGCTGAACTCTACTTAAACCTTTTTCTTCAAAAATATTTGAACAATGTTCTAATTTCTTATACTTTTGTATTTTTTACATAAGCTTTATTTTAGCGTATGAACTGTTATACGATTTTCCATTCTTGAATTATTCCGTTTATTAATCACCACCTCCCTCTTTCACAGCCACTTTTGGCCAGATATTGTACAAATGTTATTTTCTATTTTATGGTACGTTGTGGTCTGTTTGTTTGGTATATAAACCGAGTATGTTTGAAATAAATGATTCATATCGAAGAGGCCCCCAAATGCCCTAGTACGGCCGAGAGTGGGGAGAGTCCGCTCTCCCTCTCGAAATACTCTCACACGGCCACGCGTATACAGCCTCTGCCAGGGAAGTCCTACTCACTGCATTCTCGTGGCTTTACTGTTGTTTACGAAAATGAGAGGACGAAAAGCGAATGTCTGGCGCTATAGCCGGATCCCAAATCAATGGTGCACATGGGCTCCAGTATCCTGAGGGGACAAATGGCGTGTGAACCAATTTTTGGTCACCGGCTACCATGGGACTGCATCTCCTTACGATGCTCCACTGCCTTGTGGACTAGACCTTTAGGTCAAAGGCTTGGGGCGTGGCCCTTCTAAGAAAACCACCTGCTTCGGTTTGGGCACCCGAGCAGTATCACAGCCCTCACACAAATCAATTGAGATTCGTGTGGCGCATATGTATTTGGTGCCTCCTTGTACCAATACCTATGTGTTAAAATAAATAACAAATAAAAACCTTTACATATCTGGGCAGCATCATTGATGAATATGGTGCATCTGATGCAGATGTGAAGGCGCAGATCGGCAAAACAAGAGCAGCACATCTACAACTGAAGAACATCTGGATCTCAAAACAACTGCCAACCAACACCAAGGTCGGAATTTTCAATACAAATGTCAAGACAGTTCTACTGTATGGGGCGGAATCATGGAGAATTACAAAAGCCATCATCCACAAGATACAAGTGTTTATTAACAGCTGTCTACGCAAAATACTTCGGACCCGTTGGCCAGACACTATTAGCAACAACCTACTGTGGGAGAAAACAAACTAGATCCCAGCGGAGGAAGAAATCAAGAAGAGCTGGAAGTGGATTGGACACGCACAAGCACAAGGCAAGTCCCCACTTGGAATTCTCAAGATCAAAGGAAGGAAGGAAGACCAAAGAACACATTACGCTGAGAAATAGAGACAGACATGAGAAGAATGAACAACAATTGGATAGAAGCAAAAATGAAGGCCCAGGATGGGGTGGGTTGGAGAATGCTGGTCGGTGGCCTATGCTCCACTAAGAGTAACAGGTGTAAGTGAGTAGTGTACAAAAGCAATCGTTTGTGGCAGGTGTGACTATCATATGCTAATCATCTTTCGAAAGCGGTGCGGCATCTGGTTATGGTCTTTTAACATATATTCCGGATTTTCCAGTTTTTATACTTAAATGATTCGTGGCCTGACGATAAATACAATCCCAGAATTACTTCCTACGCCTTAGCGATTTTCAGGTTTCCTTACAGGCTAGCAATTTCTAATATATAACACAATGCCTGCCCCTTTACGGTCTATAAATTTATCACTTCTAATACAGATGTATCCTGCAGTAATTGGAGAACATTCCAGATCTAGCATGAGCCACATTCCTTTGACAACAATTATATTGTGACTTAATTCATCTAGCATCAAAATTACCTCGGACGGTTTATCTCTAAGACTATAAGAGTTTATGTAGCACGCATTTAAGACATTTTTAAAGTCGTTCGCTCTACTCATGAAGACCCCGTGAGCATTTTTTTTCAAGACTCGACTACCGGAAAACCCTTAATCTTAAGGTTTGTTACGTCTTTTAACTTCCATGTTTTTTAACTAATTAAGGGCACTCTATTACTTGATTCGATTCATAAGTAACCAATCTCGTTGGATACGTATATTCGGATCAAGAGTTTTGAATGTTATGTAGTATAACATCCCCTTACTCGTAACTGTCGAGTGTTACCTTCAAGTCCCTTCTTGATTGAATCTCGCCTCCAACCCACCTCCCGAGTCTTATTACTTTCAGTCAGTCATTTACAACGTAGGACCAGGCACAGATGTGCATCGGTCCAAGTTACCACACCTCGTTAGCGCAACAAGATGAACACCAAATTCATAGAATCAATCAACTCAATGGTGTAATATATAAAGGCAAGATTGCATATAAGGAGATAGTACAGGGAAAAAGTTAGTTCGTAGAAAGGTAAGAAATAATTTTGGTCTCATAGTTTAAGGGAAGACAGAAAGTGTATACACCTAGACCACTGTGATCGATTCTGAGCCATGTCACTCAGAGTCTTCAACCATTGGTTACGATAGTCGCGCGGACCCCAACCAAGTAGTCTGCATCTACCAACATGGCTAAGACTAGGAGTTTATTTATTATTTATTTTAACACATAGATATTGGTACAAGGATGCACCAAATACATATGCGCCACATATCTCATTTGATTTGTGTGAGGGCTGCGATACTGCCCGGATGCCCAGACCGAAGCAGGTGATTTTCTTAGGGGACAACACCCCGAGCCTTCGACCTGAACGTCTGACCCACAAGGCAGTGGAGCATCGTAAGGAGATGCAGTCCCATGGTAGCCGGTGACCAACGATTGGTTCATACGCCATTTGTTCCTTCAGGATACTGGAGCCCATGTGCACCATTGGTTTGAGATCCGGTTAAAGCGCCGGACATTCGCTTATCGTCCTCTCATTTTTGTAAACAACACCCCCGCCAAGAGAAGGCAGTGAGTAGGACTTTCCTGGCAGAGGCTATATACGCGTGACCATGTGAGAGCATTTCGAGAGGGAGAGTGGACTTTCCCCACTCTCGGCCATACCAGGGCATTTGGGGGCACTTCAAGCACTGATGCCACGTTTTGATTTTAGCGCCCCTATCTTTCTTCCAATTATCCTTAACACCGGTTAGCATTGCGCGTCGTGGTTATCGGTGTTCAGGCATACGCAGCACATGGCCCAACCATCTCAGTCTATGAAGATTCATAACCTCACCAACTGATTTACCATCATTCCCTAATACCCTGTGTCTAACCTCACTATTTCTTACCCGATGATCCCAGCAGATGCGAGCAATATTACTAAGACATCTGTGATCAAATATTAGTAGCTTACGAGTATCTTCTACTCTTAATGGCCACGTTTCGCAGCCGTAAAGTAGAACAGAACGAACTGTCGCGCAGTATACTCGTCACATAATTGATAGGCGGATATCTCGTCTGCGCCATATGTGACGTAAGTTGGCAAAAGCCAAACGAACTTTTCGAATCCGTGATGAGATTTGAAAAGCTCAAGTCTTATTACTTTAGTATTATGTACTGCTAAATCTTCTTTTGACAGAACATTATTGATATCAGACGCTAGTAAATTAAGAACGTGTGCATGCTTTTCAGTAAAGTCATCTTTTTACTCCTCTACATTCTAAATTAAATTGGGAACGGATTTTATTTTTTTGAAAGTAGTGTTTACGGCTTTCCATCGTGTTGCCGTTTCCTGCCTGCCAACTCTTGTGGTTTTCTTTATATGTTTATGGATACGAGCTGTTTGACGCGGGCAAGTTACTTCAAATAATATTCGGTGAGATTGAGTTTTTTCCAGTCACACAAGAGTTAAGGTTTACTTGTGGATATGGTGGAATATTCTGTGATTCACGATGAGATTTTGACAAAAACTGATCAACGAAACAGGCGTATTACGTGGATGTTTTCTCATTCATTTCCCAAAAGTCAGGACAGCTACGTTGGGACTACCTAACACGATGGCAGATTCATCTGGGTCTTCAGGCACTTCTGTGAAAAAAATGATCAACAATATCTAGTGGTATTTCACCTTTTATTCGTTTGTAAAAGATTTTCCTAATATACATGCTTCGCAGTCAGGTGTTCAGTTCATCCCGTAACAGCACTTATCACACAGAGACAATTTTTGCTGTCAGTACTCATGTTACTAATCAACGTATCATCAAATTTATTGCTGGCCAATGCCAAAAGAATAATTCCTTTTTGGATCTGTAGTGTCTGAGTCGAACAGTAAAATATCACGAGTCAGTGGAAGTTAGCTTTTGTGCATATTTTGTATGCAGCGGGATCGAAACTGATACAGATCTTGCAGGACCATTTTTTTCCGCTCACGACATTGCATCCCCTATCCAAAGAATAAGAGCTATTTGAATGCCAATATTTATGAGTTGAGCAGACTATTTTTAAAAGATTCAAAGAAAAAAAGTAGACAAAACACAAATAATAAACAGCATTATAACAATAATCTTGAAAACGTACCATAAAACAGACTTAAACATAATTCCAAAGCTCAGCCGAATTAACTGTCTAATTAGACAATGTGCTATTGACGCAATAAAAAGCAGAGCAAAATCATCTCTTGACACCTACAAAGCCACTTATTCAAAAGGCACGCGTGAGTTGGACAATCGATGGAGGGATTAACACAATCCTCAATCTCATATAGATTGATCTCCACCAAAGAATTACATGGGCTCGGACTTAAGACAGTTTCACGTTACTAATAAGTGGCATTACAAAGTGTCAGTTTATTAAGCCACCTCATTATTTTAAAAAAACAGGAACACAATACTGAAATTTAGATAACTAGATGAACACATGAAAAATATCAATAAATATTACAAGCACTACAAAGATGGGCCTTGTTGAAAGCCACGCCAAGGTCAGTCGACAACCTTGATAATCAATACCTAATCATTTATAATGATATTCAATTTCATTGTGACTCACACAAAAATTGATCTGATAGCATAACTTTAGTGTCTAGTAACTTGAAGGCCGCAGAATGTGTGTGCACAAACGTCCAAACATCTTTTAACTCCTATAATTGCGTCAGTCCTGCCTTCAAATGGTTCAAATGGTTTTGTACGGAATAGAAGCTTTCGCTTAACAGGCTTTCGTGTCTAATAGAAGGGGATCGCCAATGCCTCCAGGCAAGAACCTAGGCATATTAACGATAAAAGAGAAAAAACAATGAATTGGTAAATCATAGTAAGATACTATCCTTAGTCCTTTAGAATAGATCAAGTCGCCTCTTAAAGGACTCCTGAGAAGTTGCTCGGGCTAGCTCAGCTGGCAGCGAATTCCAGCATTTGACAACTCTTAAGGAGTAGAAGTTGTGTCTGCAGTCCGTTCTACTGCATTGTATCTCTAATTTCTGGGTGTTTTTCCTTAGGTTAGTGTTGGGACTAAGCTTAAGTAGGTGTTTAAGAGGGTGTCCAGATGTGTTAAGGATACTGTAAGCCATTAGAAGGTCACCTCTAAGACGCCTATACTCTAATGGGTAAAGGTCGAGTGATTGAAGGCGCTCATCGTAAGGTTTAAATTTGAGTCCCCGAACTGATTTCGTGGCTCGCCGTTGGATACACTCCAGAGTGTTCGTATCCTTTTAAAGTGTAGGAGGGATCACTATGTTTCCGTACTCTAAGTGGGGACGAATGAAACTATTGAAGATTATGTGGAAATTTCTCCCGTCAAACTGACCAAAAATGCGCTTCAATATTACCAGTGCAAGGTTTGCTTGAAAGGCATTTCTGTCACAGTTGGCGTAAGACTTTTAGTCGTAGGGCACCAGAACTCCTGAATCTTTTTCGACTAGGGATACTACTAGAGAGGAGTTTCCTAAGTTGTAACTGTAATCTGCGACGTGTCTCAGATGGACTACTTTACATTTTGAAGTGTTAAAGGTAAGTCAGTTATCGTCTGCCCAACTTTGAAGTCGAGTCACATCCGCCTGAAGTGCCTGTATGTCCTCTTGGTTGCGTATCTCTTTAACTGGTACTGAACCCTGTCTTCTCCTATAGAGGATGTTCAGAAGTGGTAAGGATACTGTAAGCCATTAGAAATTCACCTCTAAGACGCCTATACTCTGATGGGTAAAGGTTACGTGGTTGGAGGCGCTCTTCAAAAGGTTTAAATTTGAGTCCCCGAACTGATTTTGGAGTGAGGGAGGAAATACTATGTTTTCGTGCCCTGAATGGGTACGAGTCAAACTGTTGTAGATTATGTAGAAGTTTCTTCCGACAAACTGGCCAAAAACACGCTTCATCGTTACCAGTTCGAGATTTGCTCGAAAAGCATTTTTATCACAGTTAGCGCAAGACTTTAAATAGTAGGACACAACCAATCCTAAATATTTTTGGACTCGGTAAACTACAAGAAAGGAGTTTCCCAAGTTGTAGCTGTTGTCTGGCACATGTCGCAGATGGACTACTTTAAACTTTGAAGTGTTATCGTCTGCCAACTTTGAAGTCGAGTCAGATCCTACTGAAGTCCCTGCATATCGTCTTGATTGCGTATCGTTCTACAAAGTTTCATGTCGTCGGTAAAAAGTAATAAGTCTGACGATACCTGTTGAGGAAGATCATTTCTATTGTAGCCCGTTATCGAGTCGCGGTTGACTATGATCACCACTAAAAGAAAAGCACGTACCGGAAAATCAGAAGGCGAATGAAGCTTGAAACCAGATTTATTCGTTGGCGATCTCGTGGTATCGAAAGTATACCGAGATCGTGCCAAAGGAGATACAAGCGGATTCGCTGAGCAAACGTAGGCGCGTACAAGGTCACAATCAACAGAAGGAAGAATGTCTTTGGTATAGATAAACAAACAAGTACAGTAAAACAATCACTGGTACAATTGGTTATAATAGTAATTGTTTCCATTACACCAATCGCGTTCTGTTGCTAAAAATAGGTCACTACAGGAACCAACCGCTAGAAAGGGTTTACACTCTATATACGTAGAGGTTTCATTCGTGCGACTGATCGGCGAACGTGCAATTGTAGGACGAAAATAATGGCAGAACAGGAAGCAGTCGTTGATCGTCGAGTTAACACCGAAGGTCTTTTACCTAGAACGGTACCAGGAGAAGCGTGCTGTATTTGTTGCTCGAGTTAACGTACCACACCAAAGTTGTTTGCATCCAAGAGCTGAAGACTTCGTTTGTAGGGGTGCGGACCAGAAAACGCAGCAGACGTAGGACGAACCACGTTGAGCCAAGGAACCAGAAACGACCGCAACGACCAAGTGCGAAACCAAACATATGCCAGGTAGATTCGAAACCAGAATATCGACTGACTGCATGTACGAAAATAATGATATAAACAACAAGTTTAGAAGTTGAACAAGACAAATACATCCAAAAACACAGTGAAATTAATAATATTTAATATAAAGTTTTATTCAGCCAAATGTCTTCAGTTCTCCCGTAACAGTGTAGCATGCGTGTAGTATATGAATAGTCCTACACCGTATCCGTTGTCGATTGTGCGGTTAGTCGCGAAAACGTACGGGTAAGCGTACTCGGCGACCGGAACGTGAGACAGTAGTCTCGTTCGTACAGCGTGGGCCTGTAATCTCATCTGAAGTCAAGAGCGGCGTGGTTTGCTGGTCTGGAAGCGAGACGGTGCAGATGACGCGTGCCGTTGACCGGGACGTGAGAACGAGGCCTCTGATGTACCTAGCGTGGGATCTGAAGTAGATGTAAGGATCCCGCTAATAGGTTTGATAGGCCTAGCATTATGTCTCAAGTTATCGAGTAGGGCACTTTCATTGACGTGTGCTGGTTTGAGACGATCAGTGCTGACGATCTCGACGCGGCCATGTCCATCAGCCTTGAAGGTCTTTTCGTGACGAGAAATCACGTGTAAAGGTCCTTCGTTAGGCCGTTGCAGTGGCTTGCGTACCGAATCTACTCGTGTGAAAACATGTGAACAGGCAGATAGCTCTCGGGGGAGAGCAACCTGTTGATGTTGTATTCGAGTTGACACCGGAGACAGCGTTCGCATTAATTCAGACAGTCGATCAATGTAGTCTGATTTACCGAAATCATTACTGCTCCATGGTGTGAAGAATTCCCCAGGCAGACGCAATGTCGTGCCGTATACAAGTTCAGCGGCGGAACATTGAATATCTGCCTTCAAACTCGTTCTGATAGCGAAGAGTACGAGCGGTAAGATTTCTTACCAATTGTCGATTTCGTGTGCTCAAAGAGCACTTTTAAGTTGGCGATGAAACCGTTCAACTGAACCATTTGATGCCGCGTGGCAGGCGGTAGTGCGTATGCGTTCCGTATCAAGCAGCCAGGTCAATGAGGAGAATAATTTGAACTCGAATTGTTGTCGTCGGTCAGTCGTGACAATTGAGAGACAACCGTACAGTGCTATCCATCGTTATACGAAGCGGTGAGCAACTGTCTCCGCCGTAATAGACATGATGGAGATAGCTACGGGCCATCTTGTAAAACGATCGATGCACGTGAGTATGTGATCATACCCGTGCGATATTGGCAATGGTCCCAAAATGTCTATATGAATGTGATCAAAGCGAGCTTCAGGCATAGCAAGCGTGCCGATGGGGACAGCTACGTGCCTGTGCACTTTTGATCGTTGACACTGTAAGAATTACCTTACCCACATACGAACATCTATATTCATGGACGGCCAGTCGTATCGTGCAGCCATGAGACGTAATGTAGCTGCGATACCTGGATGAGACAGTCCATGTGTGGCATTGAAGTCGAGACGGCGATAATCAGAGGGTACGATGGGGTCTAAGTCTGACGATACCTGTTGAGGAAGATCATTTCTATTGTAGCCCGTTATCGAGTCGCGGTTGACTATGATCACCACTAAAAGAAAAGCACGTACCGGAAAATCAGAAGGCGAATGAAGCTTGAAACCAGATTTATTCGTTGGCGATCTCGTGGTATCGAAAGTATACCGAGATCGTGCCAAAGGAGATACAAGCGGATTCGCTGAGCAAACGTAGGCGCGTACAAGGTCACAATCAACAGAAGGAAGAATGTCTTTGGTATAGATAAACAAACAAGTACAGTAAAACAATCACTGGTACAATTGGTTATAATAGTAATTGTTTCCATTACACCAATCGCGTTCTGTTGCTAAAAATAGGTCACTACAGGAACCAACCGCTAGAAAGGGTTTACACTCTATATACGTAGAGGTTTCATTCGTGCGACTGATCGGCGAACGTGCAATTGTAGGACGAAAATAATGGCAGAACAGGAAGCAGTCGTTGATCGTCGAGTTAACACCGAAGGTCTTTTACCTAGAACGGTACCAGGAGAAGCGTGCTGTATTTGTTGCTCGAGTTAACGTACCACACCAAAGTTGTTTGCATCCAAGAGCTGAAGACTTCGTTTGTAGGGGTGCGGACCAGAAAACGCAGCAGACGTAGGACGAACCACGTTGAGCCAAGGAACCAGAAACGACCGCAACGACCAAGTGCGAAACCAAACATATGCCAGGTAGATTCGAAACCAGAATATCGACTGACTGCATGTACGAAAATAATGATATAAACAACAAGTTTAGAAGTTGAACAAGACAAATACATCCAAAAACACAGTGAAATTAATAATATTTAATATAAAGTTTTATTCAGCCAAATGTCTTCAGTTCTCCCGTAACAGTGTAGCATGCGTGTAGTATATGAATAGTCCTACACCGTATCCGTTGTCGATTGTGCGGTTAGTCGCGAAAACGTACGGGTAAGCGTACTCGGCGACCGGAACGTGAGACAGTAGTCTCGTTCGTACAGCGTGGGCCTGTAATCTCATCTGAAGTCAAGAGCGGCGTGGTTTGCTGGTCTGGAAGCGAGACGGTGCAGATGACGCGTGCCGTTGACCGGGACGTGAGAACGAGGCCTC